TAATATGAGGCAGTGGAATCACGACCCTAATTTCCATAAACGGGTACAAAATTTTTCAAAAATATTTAAAAAAGTCTGTATACATGCAAAATCTATCTACATAAGAAATAGGATTTTAAATTCTAGTAATAAAATAAAAGCTACATGGGTCATCATTACCTGTATATCTGGAAGACCCAAGATATTCAGGGAACCTATAAAGCTAGTGATAGGCAATACACCCATAACTTCAGATAACGAAATTGCAAGTAGTTTTGAGTAGTTTTCAGAAAGTTATTTTTCAGAAATGCAATTAATGTTACATGCACGTTAAAATCCTCTCCCATTGATGCAATTAATGTATTAAAAAATAATGTTACCTATTGTCGACAAACGTTTAAATTTAATCACATAGATACTAATGATATTATAAAAGTTTTGAATTCTATTAATCTTAAAAATACAGGAGATTTGTGGGGCATGTCCATAAAATTAATGAGTACAATAATGCCGTATATTGCACCATGTTTGGCAAATATTTTTAACAAATGTATAGATTCTGGAATATTTCCAAATCTTGTGAAATTCAGTAAGATAATCCCCGTTTTCAAAAGTGGGTATAAAAATGATCCAGGAAATTACAGACCTATCTCCATATTGCCATCTCTGAGTAAAATTTTTGAAAAACTAATTTTAAATCAACTCTTAGTACATTTTAATATGAACAAAATTTTCCACAATGAGCAATATGGATTCACTAAAGGCAGATCGACAACGGATGCGGGTTGTCGCACTTGTCAAGCATATTTATAACGCCTGGGAAAGGTCACAAGATGCAATAGGTGTCTTTTGCGACCTTTCAAAGGCTTTCGACTGTGTAGACCACGAAACCCTCCTTCAAAACTTAGATTATTATGGCATTCGTGACATCGCCCTCAATCTCATTGCCTCTTACCTTAGTAATAGAATTCAAAAAGTATCTATAAATGATGTAAATTCCACAGGGACCCCATGAAAATGGGTGTCCCACAAGGATCAATCTTGGGTCCATTATTATTCTTAGTGTATATAAATGATCTCCCCTTTTATGCCAGTGAGTTATGTGATGTTGTACTGTTTGCTGACGACACATCGCTCATTTTTAAGGTTGACCGAAACGTGTCGGATTATGACGACGTGAATAGTGCACTTTCGCGTATCCTCCATTGGTTTACCGTTAATAATATGGTGTTAAATACTAAAAAAACTAAATGCCTTCTTTTTACCCTTCCCAGCGTAAGAAGGCGAAGTTTTAGCTTAACATTAAATAGCGTAACCCTTAATCCTGTTGAGTCCGCTGTATTCTTGGGAATTACAGTGGATTCAAAGCTCCAATGGAGTCCCCATCTATCATCTCTTGCGAACAGGTTAAGCTCCGCTGTTTTTGCAATTAGGAAGTTAGGCAGCTATCAGACATCGACACTGCCAGACTTGTTTATTTCAGTTATTTCCACAGCATCTTGTCTTACGGCATTTTGTTGTGGGGTAGTGCATCTGATATAAATTCTATATTTATTCTTCAAAAAAGAGCTGTCCGAGCAATCTATAACATCGGAGCCCGGAATACACTCAGAGACCTTTTTAAAGAGATTAATATACTCACTGTTGCGTCTCAATATATTTATTGTAATATTTTGTATGTTAAAAATAATAATAATAGTTATCTAAAGAATAGTGACAGACATAAACTAAATACTAGAAATAAGGACAAACCCGTCGTCGTCAGTAAACAGGTCGTTCATGGGGCAAGGTGTGCGCATGTATAATAAAATCCCACAGTCGATATTAAGTCTGCCACTTGATGAATTTAAACGAAAAATTAAAAGTAAACTTATGGCTAAAGCCTATTATTCTATTGCCGAATATCTTGATTACGCCAATGTGTGGGGTTAATACTGTTGATACTCACGTAGGCTAAAACAAGACTATTGTACCTGTACTATTATATTGTAAACTGATTTTTTTAAAAAGAGCAACTGTTGAGTTTTTTGCTGGTTTCTTCTCAACAGAAACTGATTTCCGAACCGGTGGTAACTTACGAACGTGTTAATTTCTTGTAAAATTTTGACGTTTCATAAGAACGCGCAAGCGTCTATGTGAATAAAGATATTTTATTATTTTTATTTATTTAATTGTCACGGAAAAGCCGACTGAAACTTGTATCAAAACCTACTTTGACATCAAACCAGTGCATTCAATCTAATTTTCCAACATTAATTAACAAAGAGCAATAATAAGATAGTCTTAAATATAACTTATCGATTTTAATGCTGGCTGGTGTGAAGATTACAATTTTCAGCCAAATTAGAACTCCAAATTCAAATTCTCAAAGTATTAGGTTAACCTATTATTTATTTGTTTCCTACCGATCAGTTTTCCTTCATGACCAATTATATTTCTGTGAACAAGAAAAAAATTCGAAATATATTATATTTACCCCTTTCGTCGTGACACCAACCCAGCACAGAAGACGGCAAATATCAACGCTGTGCAACGCATGGATCAGGTACTGCTTGTTTTTCGCTTCCCTCCTGGATTTGATTTCAACAACGAGCCAATGTTTCTACATTCAACTGCCGCCTCAAACAAATAAGGATAACAACCAGCCTTTAAGTTTTTGATGTTAAATTAATAAAACGATACTGATTCATTAACGCCAATTAGAATAAATAAAAAAGAACTCGGAATGTATCGTTTCGTTCGCCTAACGTTTAATTTCATAGGTGTACTGTATAAAAATGACAACTGTCGCCCATGGACATTTGCAACAACCGTAGGGTTGCAGATGCGTTGCCACCTTTTAATAAAGGGGGCCCCGACTACCTCACTCACCAGACGAAACGCAGAAGTGTAACACTTCCACTTCACGGCGGTCTTCTGTGAGGTCGTGGTACTTCCCCGGACGTGCCCATTCGTGCAACGGGGAAGACTGTTGCGGAGCCCTATATATTTTTATTCCATATATTTTTGAATTGGCACACTAATAAGGGGATTTTTAATGGAAAATCTGTCACAAAGGAGGCAGCCAAACCAATCACTAACACCAATTTGAGAAGCTGCTACAGCTGAGTGAGAATGTGAGCTACAATTTTGTTTTACAGCTTCTTAACAATTGACACAGCAATTGTTGTAGAGTTGTATTGCGAAAAGTAACAAAACCGGTGGATAAGTTTGCTATCAAACACTTTGACTTGAGAATTGCTCGAACCCACTCTTTCTCGCTCGGTCTACTAAAACGCTCTACTAAAAACAGTACAACGAACTGTATCTAAACCAAAGGAATTACAAGTGAAAGCTCGTACCGTTCCTTGCTCCAACTGATTTCAATCTTTTTCTTAAGTCGAAAAAGTTTTAATGGAGAAAAAATTCAAATTCAACCAGGCCTCCCTTCATCGAATTTGATTTCATAGTTCAACGATCCCTATTCCCAGGATTTCTATAAATATATATCGACAATAATGTCCCAAACTTCGATAAGTTAATAACAACTTTATTTGATATATTTTTATATATTTACAGCACACCAAGATTTTTTACAATGTGGCTGAAGTTAATGGGAGGATTATTAAATTTGATTGGTAGTAGATTGCCTTTATCCATTTTGCTATATGAGACCTTAGTACCTTACCTTAGTAGTTTGAAGCACAAATAAGCAAAATTACCACATGAAGTCCCGGATAATCTTTTAAAAGTGTCTAAGAGGCTACATTTTCTTTGTTTTCAAATTTTAAGATAACAATTTTTTTTTTAGGAAATAATAAATTATGACTTAATCATATTATTAATATAAATTGACGCGACCTTTACCTTGCAGTAAATATAGAGTCAATTCAGGCGTATAATTGATGTCAGCACTTGCCGCTAAATCAAGCCAAGCATCGCATAGCGTTCTATATCTGTTAATTAAATAACGTAACATTGTTTCCTAGACGTGACAAATTGATTAACCGCGACAACGGAGGAGCGTCGTCAGCTGTGAGATGCTACGAGACACAGCTACGTAGCAGCTACGAGCCCGGAAGTACAAAAATAGTTGACGACAATTATGATAAATCATATAGCTGACTATGGGCACGCTAGAGTATAATACGATTTTGTATATCAGTGGACTTGAGATTTAATTTTTATTATTTAGTGTTCATCACTGGACTTATCGATACTATACATTGATAAACCCTTCCGGATTACCCGTCGAGATGCTCGAGCCAATAAACTAAGCGGTGGACATTCACATCACGCGCAAATCACAAAGCCCTATCAACTTTTTTTTAATTCCATTTTTAGCAACGCGTTGTCTAATGCTTCCATTACAGCAAGCGCACTTTCCAAATAACATTTTCACAGCGAATATTTAAAAACTACAGATGTCACCTTTGCTATTGAAATTAAATATTACTTCTAGTCTCTGGACTTAAGATGAAGTTTAAAAATGTTCGGAGAAGACTTTTGCAAAATTTTATACCAAGCATTACCAGAATTTAAGGAGGCGTCTTCTGGGTTACGTGTCCCACCCCTATTTTACAAATAAAACTTGTACACCTCCATAAAAAAATGATACACCTTCTTAAAGATACCCCACATAACCCAATCATGGATTATATGAATCCAGTTGCTGCTAACTGCCTTACGCTAATCGTTCATATAACCCCGGACTGTCATATCATGCGTTTATCCGTTACTTTTTTTTATTAAATTACAATTATATATATATATATGTATAATGTAATGGACAAACGCAGGATATGCATTCGATGACTCCACGATCGTCACTAATGCGTAAAACGTGTCCTATACTATTTAACTTTGGATAGTATTTTCGAAATATATTTTGACACAACGTCATCGAGTCCTAAACTAAGCAAAGCATAGTATAATGGTTATTAGGTAACAGATAAACATACTTAAAGGTGGTTTTATTTTATTGCGTATTGGCATTTACTGTGGTAAGGCCACGCAGCGGCCTCGGCTGTTGCACGAATGGGATGGCTCGTCCGAGTAAGTACCACGACCTCACAGAACACCGGCGTGAAGTGGAAGTATAATACTTTCGCGTTTTGTCCGGTGAGTGAGGTAGCCGGAACCCAATTTGCAAAAGGTTGTCAACAAACATTCGGGTGTAGCAGATGTCCATAGACGGCGGTATTCGCTTAACTCAGGTAAATCGCCTGCTCGCTTGATAACTTTTTACATTAAAAAAAAACCTCTTTTCCTTTTCTTAAATAAATACTAATTAAAGATTTATAAACATCCTGACACTAGAAAAAACACTATGTTCACATTAACACTATGTTACATTTTTCCCATAACCTCCGGCACAAGAGACCAATTGGAATTTTTTGTAGAGACGGTTTGAAATACGGTTAGAGAACTTATAAGTCCCATTACGGCAGCTTTTTATTTATATAAATTTGTACAATTGCGTTTTCTTGTCAATGATTAATATTAGAAATATAAGTCGTTCTGTGGACATATTAGTTACAAGGTTCAATGAGACTGATATGCATATTTGTGTAAAAGTCCCTAAATATAATAAAGAGAAAAAAAAGTCCCATTACACATTTACATGTCACACAGCAACAGCTTGCCGCTAGCCAAAATCAAACCCAAATTATACGGCTTTCTAATTTCCATAATGGAAATTATAGTTGGTGGTGAAAATGGAACTACCGGATAATGTTTTCAGTGCTCCCGTTTTATAAAAACTCTAAATGAAAACAAATAAGAACTTTTCAACTAACTTAATAATGAGTTACCTTTTTATAATAATATTTACGTTTTTTTTATAATAATATATACATTTGTTTATCTTTTAAAGCCCTAACCGAGACTATAAACTCTGTAGGTTGTTTTGATAATTATTTGTTACAAGTAACGCCATCTATCATCAGGTAGCATGACAATTTAAAAAGGTTTTCAGGATATTTTTAAACGAACTAGATAATTTGTAATTTCATGCAATTTAGCATTGTTATTCATTTAAAGGTATCGCTTGATTTATTTGTTAAAAGCTAATGTATCCGAAATTAAACTGGTCGAGTCAAAAAAGAGTTGGGAACAAATTTTTACCAAAATTCAAATTATTCATCGCAATAAAACTGTGCTTAAAGAACATAATTAAATCAATTCAATACACTAGTTGGTACATCTAGCCTTGATGGGATTGTTATTTTTTTAATATTTGTAACCTTTCATTTTCTTTTTCAATTATTGGAAACTTCGCTTGTTGTTACCAAAATTTGCTTTCTAATATTAACCAATATTAGAGTATAAATTTACTCTAATATTGTTTAATTTTAAATACTGATCTAGCATAGTCAAACTAAACTGTGGAAACATACATACAAAGAAATTTATTTTATTAGAACACATATAGTAAGTACCAATCTATGAAAATAATATTATCCATATATCATCTCTGTCACTAACAAACATAACTAACCTTAAAAAATGTACTACTGCATTAAACTTGTCACTTGTTACAATGACTAACTGGTATGCCATCTGTAGTAATCTTTCTTTAGTAAGCGTGGTTGCAAAGACTACTATTGTATACTGGAAACTACTATTGAAAAAGACTACTATTGTATACTGCGTGGTCGTACATACAGATCTTGCGACTCTAGATTTCAACGTGGCCGCTTAAGGCCAAGCTCTAATGTCACTTGCAAAGATGATTATAGTCACTAAAATACTAAAAATCTTGTTTATGCATAATATTTCCTATTTAAAACGGCATAGAGTGTATTACAAATTACAGGATTTAACAAATGTCAGTTATATTTTAAGTTATGGAGGATGTGCAATGGTCTTGGCCATCTTGCTATATGCCATTGCTCGTTGTGTAGTGGGTTCGATTCCCTATAGAATATAAAAATAACGTTATGGCCCACACTTATATCACATTATTGTATGTTATTGTGACAACCCAATCTAACCTATATTCTGTATATTCGAGCAGTAAGTTTGATTTCAATGCCGACATTAAATTATGATCATTTCAAATACCGTTATATGCTTTCGTGTATAAAGTTTTATCCGTGGTAGACAAATGTCATACATATAAATATCAGTATCACATTCTGCGCATCGTATTTTGCTTTAGGGCTGCGACCAATCGATAAATAGTTGTCGATTATATTAATCAAACCGACACTACTACTAAGCTATTGGCTTCAGCGCCAGAGGACGTGATTCTCACACGTGACAAGTATCTTTGCGAACCATAGATAATTGTTCCGGATCTGGGTGTTTGCTCCGAAGCCGGGTTGTTGCCTGACGTCAACCGGCCAAATCAGTCAGGCGGCCAGTCGTAAAAAACCTAGCCAAAACCAACCCATGACTCACACAACACGATACTCATATTGTTCCGGCCCCAAATACCCACCTATACGGGGAGGAGGATGATGATGACCACGCCGTGCAATAGATAGGTTCCTATTAAATCTGTTCGTCAAATGGCATAATAACATATCGTAGACCCAACTGCTGCGCACGCAGCGTCACCGTCCTACCGCTCGAGTAAGCCTCCGGCGGAGCCCGAGCCAACGGAGCCGCCGCCCCAGGAGCTGCTGGAGCCAGCACCCTCGCTGCGAGACAAGAAGCCCCAGCTGAAGGGCCCGCGCCCCGTGGGCTCCAGCGTTTCAGGTGAGTTCGATTAAGCGTCCACACCATTCGTTGCTTCCACTTAAACGCGTGCACTCCATACATGCTAAAAAGCATGTTTTGCATACGCTGTCGTCCCATACAAAGATACATACGTACATATATAGCTGGGTTAATTTAATTAAGCTTTATTTTTTAATTTAGTAATAAGTAATAGTAATTTAGGAAATGGTAACTTACGAACGTATTAATTTTTATGTAAAATTTTGACGTTTCATAAGAACGCGCAAGCGTCTATGTGAATAAAGATATTTTGAATTTGAATTTAAACCGACAAGTTACGGTAAAGTCATTTACTTCAACGGAACTTTGTATTTTTGACTTCGAAACTCACCTCAACATTAAGGAAGAAGTCTATGTGTGCCAATCAAGGAATCTCTTTCTATACACCTCTCTCTCTGGCAGATTCCATCTCGCTCTCCTCGCCCGTCGCGTGCGCTTCGCCCCGCGAGGAGGTGGTGGGGCCGCCGGTGCCGCCCAACGTGGCCGCCCTGCCCGAGGAGTTGCGCAGCTTCCTGCTGGGGCGGATGCCCACCACCAGACCTCGGCGGCGACGCGCCATGCTCATATACGTGTGCGCGGCTGATTCGCAAGGTAATAAATTAAATAGAGGTCGGCAAACGGATAATCCGTACGCGGCATTCATTCGTGTTCGTCTGTTTGTTTAACAACTAACGTGATTGTTCATTATAGATCACCTGATTGTATTAATTTTACTTTACTGATACATTGAAAAAAAAAAGTTATTTTGTTTCTTTTCTTCTTTAATAACCTTTTAATAATACAATTCAATTGTATATCGAATTCCTTGTACACATATCAATTAAACAATATTAAGAACTTACTCGTATACCAAAAAAAGATTTTTTTCTCAAAAGTGCCGTCTGCGAACAATGAATATCTATTTTATTTAATAAACCAATCCTTTTCAATTAAGTACAGTAAAATAAACATCTACTTCTCAATTTAACAGAACAAGGAAATAGCACAATTGCCTCCTGTGAGAAGGTCACCATCCATTAAACAAATGAGTCCCGGTCACCTCACTCACCAGATGAAACACGATAGTATAACACCGTGAGGCTACTGCATATACAGGGTATCTTTTCTAAGTGTATCCATTTTTTTTATAAAATTCTAGACATAAATAATGTTATATAAAAATGATAAATATTTAAAATCACTCGTAAGTAATTAATTACATTCATTTAAACTTATCTCAAAAAGTGCGTGATTTATACGCAACTCATTTATTTTACGCGCAATCATTCATAACTTACACGCACACAAGTTCATGCTCAGTAAAATTTAGGTATTTATGAATGACTACCGCATTGTCCACACGTTCTATTTTTAAGGGAATAGAATGGCATTTTTTTTGGAAAAAAAACTTTGTTTTTATTTCAATAAACGATTATACTACCGAGTCTGAACCTTCTATGCAAATTTGGGCACACACTCAAAAAATCTCCCTGTATATATTCTCCGGTTGAGCATGCCCATTCTTGAATAGCTGAATACCGCGGTGAAATACTTGTGATGTCACCAAAAACATTACATAAAAATTTGTTTCAACTGTAGTATGATGTTTTATACGTAAATGGCTCAAGCTGGTTGCCTTGACATCCATGTTAGGTAATATAATGTATGGTAAGTTATTCACAATTCTCGGTATGCTTAAACGGAAGCACTTTATTAAGTATTTTACGCAGAATTCCTTTGTACTACTTTCATCTAAGCAGTAACTCGTTTTCTTATTACGTGAAAATTATGTGCAAAGTTTTTCCAAAGCGCAAGGTATCCTAGTAATGGCCGTAGATTGGACTATATAGAAAGATCGTAGCTAGATGTCAAGGTTTTCGCACCGTGAGGTTATCGGCCGCTGAGCTTAGTTGGTAAAGGTTTTTTTTAACAAAAGCTTAAAATGAGCTTATGATAAATAAAGAAATTATTTATGGCTTTGAAAGAAACGTCTTAGCAAACAAGTTATATTTTCCGGCCGCTTAACAGAAAAAATTGGCGATGTTTTAAGGGTAAAAAATGTAAGTTTGTTTTACACAAAACAATTACAAACTCGATACAGTTTTTCTACTTAGCGATATGTAAAACATCGGGCCGTTATTAAATTTTTAAACACGCCTACGGCTCCATGGAAACTTGAAACTGTTTTTTATTTGTTGTTAACACTTTGTTTACTGTTTGTTTACTGAGCCGACTTTGATATCGACTCGGCATGTTCAAAGTTGCGTAACTAATTAGACAAGTTGGCGGAAGAAGTTTCGAGAAGGGGAATGTTTAATGTACACGATACTAGCATATTCGCCCCGTTTCTGCTTGGGTGGAAAATCTAAGTATTTTCTCTCTTTCTATATTATTGTCAACGTATCGAAAGACAGGTAAAATGCAAGGTGCCCTTCGCAAATACGATTTGTAATATTTCGTTTTTAATTGAAAGTGTGTTAGGTTTGTTGTCTGTGTTTTGAGGGTAAAACCAACCCTACCCAAAGGGTACCCAAAGAGTAATACGGGACCCTATTACGAAGACTCCGCTGTCTGTCTGTCTGTCTGTTCGTCCATCCGTCTGTCACCAGGCTGTATCTCATGAACCGTGATAGTTAGACAGTTCAAATTTTCACAAATGAACTATGCCTGTTGCCACTATAACAACAAATTCTAAAACAACAGAATAAAACAAAATATTTAAGTGGGGCTCCCATACAACAGACATGATTTTCTGGCCGTTTTTATAGATAATGTTACGGAACCCTTTGAGTGCGAGACCGACTCGCACTTGGCCGGTTTTTTTATATAAGTAACATTAAAATATCTTCCCAATATTAATATTAAAGAATCTGGATAATTAAGAAGTATTGCTCGTTTAAAGTTATAAGATAAGATTTTATTAGGCTGTATAGTTCACCTGAATTAAATGTATCTACTTATAGAATAACTACAGTTTTACCGCATATAATTGTTAATTAATGTGTAGGGCACATGAGAATTTTTATCTTTATCTCATATTTTATGTTAAAAATGTTTTCATACATTACAACGCCATAACCGACAGCTTTTATGCAATAAATAACCTTTAAGGGGAACTAAATAATGAGAACAAAATTCAGGTAACTTCTGACAATTTATGTACATAATAATGATTCGACAAAACTTCTGTTATGAATATTATATGAGGAGTTTATTATTGTTTAGAGTTCTAGACGGCTAAATCCATCTCATTACAGTAGATTCGTGGTTCATTTAATTAAATTCAGTTTACCTATATTTTGGCAAAAAACTCTTCTTATATAAATAACAATAATCAAACGCCATACGAATATTAAGGTAGATTGTTTTCTAAAACGTTAAAACAAGAACAATTTAGAGCTCATCGCCGATATCCTGGAATCTGGGACTGTGGTAGGGCCACGCAACAGTGTTCGCTGTTGCACGAATGGGCAGGCCCGTGCGTGTAGAAGTTTTACACTTTGCGTGTCGTCCGGAGAGTGAGGTAGCCGGGGCCCATGTTATTAAAAGATGGTAACGCATCTGCAACCCCAACGGTGTTGCAAATATCCATGGATGGTGATCATCACTTAACATGAGGTGAACCGCCAGCTCGTTTGCCACTTTGTAACATTTAAAATAAAACTAGTTTCCCTTCGGGAATGAACGATCGTCATCATTTCAGCCTGTTAGAGTTCACTGTTGAACACAGGCCTCCCCCACAGACTGCCACGAAACACCATCCTGAGCCACCTGCATCCATCGACTTCCAGCAACTTCCTGCAACTCCATCTAGTGAGGGTCGTCTACACTGCGATGGCCAGTACGATGCTGCTCCTTGAGAACCTTTCTTCCCCAGTGGTTCTCGGTTCTACGAGCTATTTGCCCGCGCCATTGACACTTCAGCATATTAATTTTCTGACCTATGTCGGCTATATTTACCAGTGACGACCTACAAACCGAGACGTGGTCCTTCACTTCTGACCGTATGAGGAAACTCAAATTCGCTCAGCTGGCTATGATCGATATTTCACTGCGTGATAAAGTTCTAATTTATAACTAAGAGACATATTCTATTAAACTTTCGTTTCACAAATTTTGCAGATGTTTTGAGGGTTATGTAAGTTCAAAATCTTTTTAGCCCTTATTGAACGTCAAAGAAGTAACACCAATTTACTAATTTAAAACTGTATAAAGAAGAACCGGCAAGAAACTCTGCGATCTTCTTCTCTCTTTTTTTTTTAAATTATATATATATAAATTTGTAGAGTATAAAACCAGAAGCAGCTAGAGTCATTTCCACACATACCCTCAAAATATTCTTCGACATTAATATAATAAGGTACAGGTATGGTATAAGACAATAATAAGGCCCCATTAGTATAGCTCTTACCAAATACCTGAAATTGTTCACACTTAGCTGTCTTTAATCGCTTATTTTTGTAAGCCAGGCGCTCGCTTTCGATTCAATATAATCGAGCAACCTGAGGTCGAGCCGCGGTGCCGGCACCAATGAAATTGCTAATTTTAAACGCTTACTTATCTCGTGATCAGCTGTGAGAAAACATCGTGAGGAAACCTGCATATATCAAAATAATGATAAAGAGAAATATGTGAAGTCCACCAATACTCGGCGGAGTGCGATCGCGCGGTGAACTTTGCCCTAATAGCCTCTGTACACAGAAGGCCTGTGTCCAACAGTGGGACATACATAGGCTGTTACTTTACTTTAGCTGTTTGTGGATCCAGTCCGATACAGATGCAGAATGTTTTAGCAGACTTATGAACTTGCAGACTGCTGTGCGGAGAAGGGCATCTTGCAGTGCGGCGTGGCGGCCAAGCTGAGGGTGAGGGCGAGGCGGCGCGGCTGGCGGGTTCACGTATCGGACTTACACTGGCGCTCACCATTGGAGCAGCAGAGGGACCACCGCTTCCCGGTGCTCTGCATCGCCGAGCTCACTCGTAACTCACTTTAATCTAAAGAAATATAAATATCTAACCATCTAGCTTTTTGCCCGCGGCTTCCCTCACGTTGAACCCCTTAAATGAATATCTTTCAACCCTTTACAACACTTTTTTTCTAATTAAAAAATAGCCTATATCCTTTCTCAGACTCTAGACTATCTGTGTCCAAATTTCATTTAAATCGGTTAAGTAGTTTTTGAGTGAAAGCGAGACAGACAGACAGAGTTACTTTCGCATTTATAATATTAGTATGGATAACTTTAATCGGGCAATAATTAAAATCCTGGAATTATATTCAAAATTTATCCCAAGAGATCAGTGTACGTCCACTTTATACCAGTTAAATATCTCTATGCAAAAAATCTATTGCTTCATATTTTGGCTTATACGGCCAAGTCGTATAGATAAGCAGTGTTCACATCTAACGAAAAATGTTATTAGTATTCAAAACTTGTTTCACCGCCTTCCTCAAGGATGGTTGACGTCAAGCAGGCGGCCGGTCGTAAAAAAGATGGCTAAAACCGCTTACAACATGATTCACTTGTTGTGTTTGGCAAAGCCTGGCAATAGCCGGGATGAAAACCAGGTGGAAGAAGAAGACTGCCACGTGGTATAGATTAGCTGACTTCACATCTAAATAAAATAAATATTCTCACACAACGTTCTCAAGTCCCAAACTAAGCAACGCCTGTACTATGGGTACTAGATAACTGATAAACATACTTTTATTTTGTAAATAAATACATATTATACATATATAAACACCTAGACACTGGAAAAACACGATGTTCATCACAATATTTTTCCAGTAGTGGGGATCGAAACCACACTCTCTGACGCAGGAGGCAGGTACCCTACCCACTACGCCATTCGGGTCGTCGTCTAACGAAAGATGTTATTCAATTTGTTGGTATTTTTCAGGTATTTATGTGTCCTTAACGGTTCCAGGTCAATCGGAGCTAGGTGCCGTGGTGCCAGTTCTCTTCCTCAACTCCGGTCTTGGTACGCCCCTGCTTCCGCACACCCTGGAGTGCGCCGACTTCAAGGCCGCCCTGGAGGCGGCCGAAGACGAAAACGACCAGGCCCTGCTGAATAAATGGTGCGAAACCTAGGGTTACCACCTCGAAAAAACAAGTACATACATGATACTCCGATATCATGCACGCCAAAATGATGAAGCACATTTGGAGCACAAATAAAAATTATGTAAACATAAATGTGCATGTAAACTTAACAAGGCGACTTCAAATATCTCGCTCCGTATTCATTTTATAATTGATTTTCAAGAGTTACCTTCGTATCTCCGGAGCCCAAGATCCAATACCAATGAATTTAATATGGGACCATAGGAGAAGCACCAGCTTTCAAATAAAAAAAGAAGCATCAAAATCAGTTCGCTTATTCGAAAGTTTTGAGGTAACAAACATAAAACAAAATGCTGTCGAATTCAAAACCTCCTCCTTTTTTGAAGTCGGTCGAAAAAAAACTTCTTTTGGCACTTGTAACAGACGCTGCGGCGAGACTTATAGCGGATATAGCCATCTGGTGGTATGAGTAATTGCTTGAAAACGGTTTCTTTCTCTTGTGTTTAATTCATTCGCTAAAGGTTACCGATTGTTTCGGTTACAATTTTTTTTCCTCACGCCTATGGAACATTGTTATAATTATCTAATCCAGTGCGTGGTTATTTTTCCTTACAAAATTAAAAGTCCAGTCCAAGTATGTTTTGATTCTCCTGGTAAATCATGATTCATACATAAATAGATAAAAAAAAATTTTAATCATTAAAATTTGTAGAAAAAGTACGAAAACATTGTCCCCGTTGGGGGAATCGAACCCAAGTCTTAGGCATTCGCGGCCTGACGCTTTAGCCACTAAGCTAAACGGCAGATTGCCACTCCGACGAAAATCTAAACGTCTTTTATCTACATTGCTTTTTGTACCATTTTTTTTTCTTTTTTTAAAAAAACATTGCCCTTATTTTAGGATATCATTATCCTATGTTGTAAGGACGTTTTACAAACATGAATTTCACACGGACAAACACCCTGATGCGAATCAACTATTTGTGGGTCACACAATAGTTGTCCCGTGTGGGGATCGAACCCACGACACCCGACGCCGAAGCCAATACCTTGACAACTGGGCCACGGAGTCATCAAATTTGATTAGATAACTCCGTGGTCCATTTGAACCAATATAATGAATGAATGAATGAATGAATGAAATACGCTTTATTATACACCAGACAAAATTACAAAAGTAACAAACAACTACATAAAGGTACAATTGGCGGCCTTATCGCTTAGAAGCGATTTCTTCCAGGCCACCATGTTACTGAGGATACAATTATCAGTGAGAAGGGTTTGAGGTATACGCTATTGTAAATATAGGTATTATAGATACATGTACACAACACTACTATACACAAATAAATGAATAAAATAAATAAATATATATAATAATATGAATCTTATTATAATGAATCTTATATATAATTATATGAATTTTATTTTTATAATGCATATGAGGAAAACATTTCATTACACGATCGCGACTAAATCCATTAACTCTCGCGTCCCTACAGGTACAGTCTAGACAACAGCAGCACGCCGCCTTGCTACCGGCTGGCGAGGGGCGCGCCCGCCCGGTGGCGCCGCGAGATGGCGCGCGCGCTTAGCGTGCTGGTGCGCACCCTACCTCAGGAGGCGTGCGACGCTTACCTCACCACCGTCGTCGAGCAAGTGAGTTGTTACCCCATTAGTGTTTAGAACATTCCTTTATACCGAATATCGCTGTTCGTTAAACAAATTATCGATTTTTGATCTAATTTTTTTATTTTAATTTATAATCTATTTCCAGAAATATTTATTTATATTCTTAAAGCATGGGTATGAAGAAATGGGTAATAATATTTATCTAATATTGATCTAATTGCAGTTTTTTTTTTTGGGGTTCCATTATTTTTATGACCAGAACCCTCGGAATAAGCCTCAAATTATCGTTTAGCCATAGCAAATAAGTAAATTTTGATTAATACGGAAACTGCAAAATACCATAACAAACAAAGAATCCGTTCGCTGAATGATCTTGTATTGCATCGCTATCTCGTCGTAAGGCAATCAACCTTTAGTTGATTTAAGTTCCCTGCCCTTCGCGTGCGGATGCTATATGCCAATGCCAATAACTAATCCTTATTGGGTGTGGTGGTAGAGTCTGCTTTAATTCCTATATCATATAGAGATATTTGCCTAGCAGCTCGACATATACAGCGTGTCGTTACCATCGCGACAATAAATGAACATACATATAGGGGATAACTTTTTAAAGTTGTATTAAACATTTAAATTCTTTAAACATCAATATTTACAGAGTTATGAAATTTTTCAAAACAAAGAATTTTAGAACACCCTTACCTATAAAAGCGTAACGTAAAGTTCATTTGTAAATGTCACAAAGCATATGAATGGGTTGAATGAATTTAAGAGACAAAACATACTGTTAGAAGGAGAGGCTTGTAATACGACGCTCTGGCGCGAGTTGTATAGGATGTTACAAATTTTCTTTCTTTTTTACTTAATTAGTTTGTTTGAAAAATATATTTTTTTTAATTATGGATTTTGTTTAACGTTAATATTTTTTTATGATTATTGGCAAGTAGCGTTAGACGTGTGCTCATTTATTGTCGCGATGGTAACGACACGCTGTATATACAGTTAAAGTGGAAGTGTTACACTTCTTACAACCCTACGGGTGTTGCAAAATCCCATGGGCGGCGGTTATCACTTAAAACCAGGTGAACCGCCAGCTCGTTTGCCACTTTCTCACATAAAAAAATATACTTTAATACAGTATGAATTTCAAACCTCGTCTACCGACAGGAGGTTCAACATTCAGTACTGATGAGCGCTGAGGCTGCGCGCCGCTGCGTGTGGGTATGCCGCGCCGGGGCGGCACCGGAGCCCGACGCCGAGGGCGCAGACCCCGCCCACCACGCGGAGCTGCAGCGCCGGCTCGCCAACCTGCAGAAGGACCTCAAGGTATGCGTGACTCAGCCCATCTTAGACTTTTGTCATATCCTAGCATATTCTTTCACAAGGCCGGCAGCGCATTTGTTAGCCCTCCGGTGTTGCACGTGTTAATGGGTGGCGGTGATCGCCCCTTTTGTCCATAAAAAAAACTTTTAAACGAGCATCGGCGTTGCACGAATTAGCTCCTGCCTCCCCTTTTCACCTTACTAGACCTTGGCACTACTTCATCAAAGAGTCAAGTAAAAGTTACGTGTCTTACTTTCCTATTACAATGTGAACTACTGTGAGGTGACAGGGAATCTTCTGAATCTCCCCCCCCCCCCCTCCGATAACAAAAAAGGGGTAGGCAAAGTTTAGCTGTAATAAATTACAAGCCTTTGATCCGCAGTCGCACCTGAGCGAGCGAAACGTGATCCGCGCGAGCGTCCGCGGCCGTCCCGCCAGCGACGAGGAGTACGCGGAGGGGGTGCGCGTGGCGCTCGCCGAGCGGCTCGGCGCGCTGCTCGACACGCTAATCGCCGACAACGAGGTGCCAGCCGGCAGCTGCGGCGTTCCCACCAGGTACGATTGCAACAAAAGTGTTAAGCGATTATCGCACCTCGTTCGTAGGACCATCCGTAAGATTTTTTCCTTTGAACTTCGTATGATCACAAATAGCATTACATATTTCTGTATGTAGTAGACTTGAAGCCAATGGATTAGCCATTATATTCTATGTGTTTTTTAAATTATACTTGGCGCGTTTCGAAAAATTATTGAGAGTAAAATTTTTAAAAAAAGCGACTTCAAAACAACTTCACGGTATTACCTTGGCATAATTTATCATGGCAAATGTATTAACCTATAGTTCCAAGTTTTAATTAAACCGTTATTAATTGCACTTAATGTAATATTACAACAGGGGATAAATATTTAGTTATTTTTCTTTTGTTACGCCAAGAAAGTATGACTTCTAGTAAGAACATGACTAGGGACCTCTAGTATGCTTACAGAAATACACAAATGTTGTTTTTTTTATTTCAGTTTGTTCGACGAAATAAACGAGCATCTCGCCTTCTGCCAGAAAGCGGCGCAGTGCACTTCGAACAGAGAGATCACACTGAACGAGCTTAAAACGTAAGCAACGCCACCAATACTTTTTTAGAGTTATTACATTTCATGAACATCTATTCTATCTCAAACTCGGTGGTAACTTTAAGCCGCTCATAGAATCGGCTCCTTAAAATTATTCCTTTGAGTAATTTATGTATTCAAAAATAAGGTATTATAAGCAAAAAGCATTTATTATGATTATTATTATACACAAAACTATAAATATACGGGAAATCGATGGATGCAGATGGCTCAGAATCAGCGATGGCTCAAGACATTTAGTAGTGGACCTAAGCAGGTTGAAATAATGATGAAGATAATGATTATTCTAATTTATCATAAAATTTACCACCATATTTAATTACTAGGTCTATTATTATTATTATTTATTTTCACATATATATAACCCTACAAAAATTAATAAAATAACACTTGAAGCTAACTTAAACTGAATTAACATGTACATGTGTTCCTTTAGGTACGTGACGGGCGAGAGCTCGGTGCCGCTGGCGCTGCTGGGCGGCGCTGGCTGCGGCAAGGCGACACTCCTCGCGCGCGCCGCCTCCCTTGCGCATACCTGGTTGCCCGAAGTTGCCCTCATAGTGCGGTACTCTCCCTTCTTTATTACACACATCATCATCCATCTGCCCTTATCCCACCAAGGTGGGGTCGGCACAGCATGTAGATCATGTTTCAAGCGCTTTTGACTATGTTTTTTACATAGCCAAAAGCGCACATACCCGTTACAATTGTTTGGCCTGTGTGGGAATCGATCCCACGCCACCGTAGCCAATAGCTTAGCAACGGCGCCATCGAGTCATCTTTCATTCTTTATTACATACAAGTTAGTTACAGTTATTGGAATTTTTGCGAACCCAATAACCACGATAAACTTACGCCTGATTTCTGAAACACTGATTATCGTAGAAATTAACGAATCAGCTGTCAAATGGCTTTTCAAGTGTCATTTGAGTTGCCGAAAGGATGGTTAAACTCTCTGAATTTATCAGAATGATCTTCTTAATGATCAGAATAATCAATTAAAAAACCGGTGTTTTACGGTGGTAGGACCACGCTTACAGTGGTAGTACAATACTTTCGCGTATCGTCTGGTGAGTGAGGTGGCCGGAGCCCAATTTTTAAAAGGTTGTCAACGCATCTGTAACCCTCGGGTGTAGCAGATAACCATGGCCGGCGGTATTCACTTAACATCAGGTGAACTGTCTGCTAGCTTGGCAACTTATCACATAAAAAAAACCGGGCGTTAGTTCGTTACTTGTCAGTCGGTTATAAATCCTTTGGTATAATTACCAACTATAACTTATACGAGCCAATCATGTATTTATTTTACTATTTTACTACCGTTAATTCTGCAGATTCGTGGGCCTCACATCCCAGTCGAGTAGTTCTCACCAGCTGCTGAAGTCTATAGTCGACCAATGTCATGTTCTGCACACCGGCACCGTTTACCGAGGGCGTAATGTGAGTAATGTCAACATCATAAACATTGCATTCACAAAAAAGTACTTTGATGCAGCGCCTACTTTTTAGCCATATTACTATTAGTACCTGGAGGACCGAGCTTTGCTCGGTTTTTTTTTTGGTAAATTATGTATTTTGGAAATAAAAAAAAAAACTAAGGAAAATGATCTGGTATAAATAGTAAAAATAGAAAAAAAAGTAAAGTGTGTAAATGATAGTGATACGAACCACGGTCGTGTTTTGGGGCCGCCCGATTACCGACCGAGCTATTATAACATTTTATTTTGCGGCAAAATTTACTGTCATATTCGAATGATATTTTTCATCCCCTGAAAACAGGGATAAAAGGACATTTTCTAAAAATGAAACCTAGCTAGATCGATTTTTCGCCCCCGAATCTACGCACATACTATATTTCATGAAAATCCCTGGAGCCGATTCCGAGATTCCGATTATATATATATATCTATAAGAATTGCTCGTTTAAAGGATAAGATTAAGGGACATTCCGCATATCCTGTTTGTTGTAATTTCTCAATGAGGTAGAGTCACGCAGCAGCTTCTGATGTTGGACCAATGGGCTCGACCGGGAAAGTACCACGGCTTAACTGAAGATCGGCGTGGAATAGAAGTATGAATGAATGAATGACATAAAAGTGACAATAGAACAAAAAAATTATAAAATTATGCAATGTACAATTTGGTGGCCTTATCGTTTCATAGCGATCTCTTCCAGGCAACCAATGGCATTAAGGAAACGCATACTACGTAGGTGGTGCAATAGAATACAATAATACATACATCCGTATATCTATATGTATGTTGAAATTATTCGCATATACTAAAAATGCTTTAACTACCTCGACACTTTTGAGACTATAGCTGTCGCGGGAGTTTTTTAATTGAGTCAACATTTACCGTGATGCAGATTACGGGCATTGTCATATATACGGTGAATTTGTTACCTATGAGGTAGCGATCACAGTCATTTTGCTACTAAGCTATTCAACCGCCTATATGTTCGTGTTAATGGACTAATATGGCACTGGTTGTGGTTAGGAAGCTGGTTCGCTTGGCCTGGCACTGGCACGTCTTCTGGCAGCCCTGGGACGTAATCGGCCCGTGCTACTTTGCGTGGCAGCGGCGGACGCGCTGCGTGGCGCTCGCTGGCTGCCTTCAAAGCTACCAGACAACGTCAAGATGCTCGTCACAGTCTCCGAAGGTATGATACAAGGAACAGTTCTTCTTTTATAAACTCAAAAAAGACGGAATGCCGTTACCCGCATTCGAAGACAGATGTAGACAACGCAACAGAAATGTGAATTTCGAAACTATGACGTCAGATCACTGCATGACGTTTCAGGTACGTGAACCGAATAAAGATACGTGTCTCTGCACGTGTGTGCTCATATACATAGTATTAGCGTGTACACGGTGTGTGAAAAGCTTGTGAGTAAAAAAACCTGTAAATGTGTCTGTTAATTTTTAGGATTATTCGTAATTTGTTGTGACTCGTATAAGACACGATGGTTATCAGATAATAAAAAAAAGTGTGCGTAGGTTTACATGTGTGCTCATGTTAATTGGACGAGAAAGGTGCGTGAATAAAAATCCCTATTTTGGTATTTACTTTATGCACACAAAACATGTACAGAGGCGGACTTAATGCCATCGAAATTATCTGCTAGTCGACCTGTAAAAATGTATATGTGTGCGCTCACAGAAGCGGACGAGCCGTCGTCCTCTGCCATAATGGCGGTGCTCTCGTCGGAGGACGGGCCGCGGGTGGTGCGCGCGCCCGGCGTCTGCGCCGAGGAGGCGCGCGCCGCTCTGGCCGCCTGCGCGGCTGCCTACTGCCGCACCGGCGTCACCGCGCCCCCTCCGCAGGCGATCGAGGCGCTACGCGGGTGCACTCTGCCGCTCTACGCCAAGGTGAGCTAATAAATAATAGCGTCTGCGATTGTAGCGCTACGATCTAATGCTACGAGCTACGAATGCAGAGTCAACACATACATAAAAATATAAAATCGCGTTATTAGCTTGCTCAATTATTTATGTGTAAATAGTTGAAAGAACTATTTTTCACGTATTATTAAAGTTCATTCGGTGATATAACTATGTCCGAAAGTTTTCGTAGCTGTTAGATCCAGCTACGCCGACGTGGGCTATGGCTATGCTACACGTAAGCTTATGATAACAACACGCTATAAGCTGACTGAGCTAGAAGTTATTCGAAAATGAAACACGTCCAATATTAATTTAAAATATTTTCAGATCCTAGCTTGGCAAATATCCTTGTCAGCGGAGACCTTCACTGAGCAATCCGAACCGGAGACAGTGCCGGAGCTTGTCATATGCGAAGACCTGGAGAGTCAGCTCACCCAGATCCTGGTGGCTACGGAGAACGCTTTGGGCGCAGACAGGGTGCGCGCCTGTCTCTCCCTACTCACCGCGTCCAGAAGGGGGCTCGATGACACAGAGATCCTGGACATGCTGGCCCACGACGAACTCTTCAGAAGCGAGGAGACCTACCGTAAGTGACGCAAATCTCCTTTTGTTCATCCTCTTTCTTATATCTTTATATATAACAATTTAGGATCCGTATGTTTGTCTACCCTATGAATTGACTTGATGTTTTTCCCAGCATATATTTTTACTAACAAAAAACAAAACCGACTTCAAATATCTCACTTACTATACATTTTCTTTTTCATTCCGAGGAGTTCCCTAATGTATCTTCGGAGACTAAGGTCCAGTACCAATGAGAATGAATATGAGACAATGGGAGCTAGCCGAACCCAATTTGAAAATTTGGTCATTTAAAATCGAATCATTAATGACGTAGTTCTAAGGTAACAAACTCTACTAGAAGGAAATTCACCAAAACGTAAACTTTGATTCATCGAATTGAGAAATATACATTTCGACCCATCTGCAACCCTTCAGATATTGCAAATGTTCGGCGGTTATGACTTAACAATAGGTGAACAGCTTGTCACCTTCATTACATAGTACAAACCAAAGTCGTCCCTCTGTCTTTCTACGCAACAAATTAAACAGATTCAAGAGGAAGGTTTATATGTACAATTCATGCGTAATATAGTAGAGAAACATTGATAATTTTAGAGGTTTCTAATGCGATGTCGAAAACAAATATTCAGCATTGCACACGTGCGAAGCCGGGCGGCTCACTACTAGTCTCACATAAAAAATAGCAGCTATGCCCGGTTCCTATATTAACGAAACGAGGCGTTTTCCTTACGGGCCTTTGCATTACCTACGGAAAGTGAGTTACTAGCGTTCCTTTAATCCACAAGTCGTTATGAAAGTTACGAAGCTATGTAACTAACGGCCGTTCGTTGAATATGGGAACCGGGCATTGGAAACTGTGAGGTTAGCGAGCGTATCGCTACCAGTTCCGTGGGCGCCGGCGTCGCTGATGTGGCCGCAGCTGGCGGCGCTGCTCGCGCCGTGGCTGCGCTGGGATGCGAGGGGCGCCGCGCGCTGGAGGGACGCAGCCCTAGCCGCGGCCGCCGCCGAGAGGTACCTCGCGCCGGCACCGGAGGAGCCTCGACGCGCCTTAGTCAACTACTACGAGGTAGGACGCGTCAAGCGGTAGACTGGCGAGGTACACCTGGATGACCCGGTAGCGCGGTTGGCAGGGGTCGTCGGTTCAATTCCGATGAGACAACTATTTGTGCGACTGACGGACAATTTCGGATCAGGGTGTTTGTCCACGCGACCAAGGTCCACCTGGATGACTCAGGGGTGCAGCTGGCCGGGGTCGTGTGTTTGTTTCCGTCGAGAGAACTATTTGTGCGACTGACAGATAATTTCAGATCAGGGTGTTTGTCTTCGCGGGCGAGGTCCAGCTGGATTGAGAATTTTGGATCTGGGATTTTATCCACTTGTTTATGTATGTAAAACGTCCTTGCATCACAGAATAACGTTATCATACAGTAAGGGGGCGATAATCTCGAACGGAAGACTACAATAGATCTTCGAGGTGGCAGTGGTCGTTGGGACTTTCTGCCAAAGCCTGTGAGCACAATTCTGCCATAAATCACATCAGCAACCAAACGTTGCCTCACTCACTGCCTATGTGCTGTGATGAAAATCCTAAAAACTAATAAAGACAACTAGTGATCTGTATGGCCACAATGACACACATTCGCCACCTATACAATTGAGGGTTGCCATGTTCACTGCTTAAAAATTATGATATTCTCAAATTGTTCACACACCCATTGTTCTATTTTTCACCATGTGCTTTTCTCGCTCCTTCACAGGGTACCTGGTATACAGAAAGCGATCCGAAAATGGCGGGTCGATTGATTTCCCAAGAAAACAAATTCTCTGAGGATTGGTAAGTATTTTAGATCAATCGCAAATAAGAATTTTTCGTCACCGTTAGCACTTAAAACTGGTTTTGAGGAATATCGTTGGGGTTGTCCATCGAATAATTCCGACTTTTACTTAAAAAGAGGCTCCGGTCTTATAACTAGATCTTTGTAACTTCAAGAAAAAAAAGATTTTTTCTGATGAATCTCGCAAAATAGTCTTGGGTAAATATTAAATGTGATACATTAACATTTATCTGAGACATGTGTATCCAACAAATAAAATAGTTTTCTCTCTTTACCAATTAAATAAGGAAAGCTCAATAAAATCCGTAAACTGTTTTAATTAGTAAATATAATAATCCCATAAATAAGACAAATTATTATTCATAAAATAGTGATAATTTAAATATCTATCAGAATCACTACTTCATTACAGCTACAATACGAGGAAACTGGACGAGCTGCCGTACCAGCACTATCATCTTCTAAAAGACAACCCAGAAGCCTTTTCGGTTAAGCCCTACTTCACCAAACTGGACTGGATCCACGACAAACTGGCCGCGACAGACTGCGGTCATTTCCTGGAGGACATTGCTCTAGTCCACATAGACCCTCTCCCTGAACATCTGGAAGTCCTTAAAGATGTATTCGAGACGCACTCCTACGCCCTTGACTACGACCACAGACAGTTCTACGGTCTGCTACGAGCTACGTTAGAGAAACGGAGGAGAGACGGTCTGGAGATCCAGAGTGAAATGGTGGAGGAGTGGCTGCGCCAGGTCTGGGACCCGCCCGTGCCCACGTTCTACCCCGTAAACGAAGACTTCTGGAGGGTGGTAGAGAACAGAGAGAAGAGGGACATGTCCATGGTGGAGGGCTTCGATAGCAAGTCGTTCGACCTGATAGTCAGATTTGAAACTAGGGGGAAGTTCATTGCGACGATTTCGACCGAGAGGGAGGAGATTTGCGTCTGGGACGTGTCGCGGTGAGTTTCCGATATATTTATGAAATTCAACCTATATATTATAAGAACATATCTGAAGGTAGAAATAAATTTGGTTAATAGAACTTGAGAAGTTGGAACTAAGAAAATAATTCTTTGGCGGATTAGACTTTGGATGGATTTTATTTTTTATGTAAAAATAAATAAAGCCATATAGCGTATTATTGCTTACATAATATAATGTTATGAGAAAAAACGGTCAGGTTTAATCACCCATAACGTAAATAACATAACGTATGCACCTAGCATTCAATTTAATTTTTGTTTGAATAAAAAAGGTTTTAATTTGATGAAGGTACAAAAATTTTCCTTTTGCAATCAAATATTACTTTCTCTCGACTTATCCATAGAATTTAAACCAGTTTTATTTGCTTTTTGTTCACACAATGCCTAACCTTACAGATGTAAGCTGGTTCGTAAACTGGTTGGTGTGACGCACCCGATAAACCTGGTGCCCATCGACGAGTACCGTTGCGTGGTGCTGTGCCGTCGCGAGCTCAGGGTGTACGACCTGGATCAGGTACTTTTCGCAGTGACAAAGAAGTGTTTAGCTGTTTGAGATCCCTATAAGTAATGTTCTCTGGTGTATCCTGTTTGTAATGTTTATAAAATACGAGAATGAAAGCAAAGAATTTGAAAATAAAACAGTTGTTCTGATATCATGAAACTTACGTAGTTTACTCTCTTTATAATAGAAATTATTATTAAATTACATTTACTAAACCACGATCAAATAAATAATGGATCTGGCTCAAAGGTCTTTGTTTTAACTTCTTTGAAATTATCTTAAATTGTAATCATCGTCTACTTTTAGTAATAATGGTAAAAAAAACGTAGTCAGACGTAAAGATTTTCACCGCGAGGTCATTGGCTACATAGCTTATTTGGTAAAGCATCTGGGTGCGAAACCGGAAGACGCGTGTTCGAATCTCACAACGCCGATAGTTTTTGTTTATTCCGCCTTGTTTTATCCGCCAGGGTAAATTCGTGGTCACGTTGAAAGGTGTGATGAACCAGAAGATGCCGTATTACGGCCTCCACGATTCCAAGCATCTGGTGACACTCTCCAGGAACCGGATGTACGTGAACCTCATGAACATAGAAACCGGTAAATATCTCCCAAGAACGTTCTTCAATTACTTACTACTGCAGGATTGAAAAAGATACTTTTTTATTTTTTGCAAAATAGCACAAATACTTATTTTTTGCCTGGTCGTACTTGGTATCTGTAATTTTTTCATTTGATTTAATTTTATTACTAATACTTAAACAAATTTATAGATTATAAGGCGGTTTGTTTTTATTTTAAAAATATTTTTCTCTTCTTAGTCGTACACTCCTGACGGATTGGTCGTGGTCATGGAACGTCTATTTGATTAGACGCGCTTTTATAAGACTTATCCATCACTCTCGTCGTAAAAAATTTAATCAGGTCTGTCCATCTTTGGTCACGGTCGCGAGAATGTTGTCCTTCTTCTCTTTCTTGTACTATATTGAATATTGAAGTTGTAACATATTGAATTGAAACATATTCGAATTTGAATATATCATCTAATATCTTAAGAATTTGCATTTACACAATCCGCGAATGTCTTTTTTTGATATCAACATCTTTCAAGTAGAAGTCAGCTCAGTGAATATTTCATCGGACGCTTTGGAACACATCGCATCAGAACGAAGGCTCAGGAATAATTGAAACGCTAATACAAAAGTATCATTACACATACTTGTGTGACGTGACATAACCTGGAAATGTAATTGTTTCAAAATGTAACTGATTCTATTTATTAATTAAGTTTATTTAATAATTGTAAAACATCATTTGCAGGTGATTGTGTGACGACGTTCAAAGCTGGCGAAGATAGATTCCTCAACTCGTTGCTTGTGTCCGGCGATGGGAGGTACGTAATATGTAAACAATTTTCAAAAAAAAGATATAATGTTTCGAGAAACCTCCCGAGCAATTCGGTTTTCGACTGATTCACTCCTGTTCCGAATCGATTTTTCCCTGACGGAGCACATTCTGAAAGGCCTCAATCATCCAAAATACATAAGTACTGGTGCAGCACCCTTCTTCGATGTCGCAATGCATGCAATAAGGTCTGGTATGATGGCTTGCTTCACAAGCTGTTTGCACTCAATGTACTAGAATGGCTCGTGCATACCATTCGAGCCTCCCAATACCGAGTCGACCGCAACCTCATGGCTAGCGTTCCTCAAGGCTCCTGCCTATCTCTACACAAGGGCGGATCCAGGGGGGGGTCATGGGGGTCATATTCTTCAATATTTAATTAAAATAATATAATATTTTTAACCGACTTCAAAAGGAGGATTTTCTCAATTCAATTGGTATATTTTTTTTCGATGTATGTACACCGATTACGTTGAGATTTGATCCGATTTCCGTGGTTCTTCTTTAGTTTGATGCCATTTGGATTTGAATAGTTGCCATTTGGTCCCATAAAAATTTACCATAGTTTTGCCAAGTAGTTTTAATTTTATGAACATTTTTACAATATTTTGATGACTCCGTGGCGCAGTTGGCCAAGATTTTGGCTTCGGCGTCGGGGGTCGTGGGTTCAATTCCCACACTGGCAAACTATGTGTGCTGTCCACAGATAAATTGCACGAGGACAAACATCCAGATGTTTGTCCTCGTGCAATTTATGTTTTTAAAACGTCCTTACAATACAGGATAATGTTATCCTAAAGTGAGGGCAATGTTTATAAAAAAAAAATTGTAATGTTAAATCGTTAAATCAAATCTTGCAAATTAAATTTGTACTACTTCCCGGTTACTGGTTGAGCTACAATTTTGTATACATGTGTAAATCGCGACAAGACATGGTGCTGATCTGATGATGGAGCTGAAAGAAGGCCAAAGGAACTTCGAAATGAAACGACAGAGCCTCATCGCGTTTGGGTACATTTGAATCGTATTAATGAGTAGTTTGTCTTTCATTGGTAACCACGATCTGATGATGGAGCTCCATCTTCACCCGTCCATGGACATATGCATAGGGTTGCAGATGCGTTTTCTCCTTATAATAAAGTGGGCTCCGGCTAGGTAGCCAGAGACGGAGCAAAATGCATCTCTTGAGTGAGGTACTCACCAGACAAATCGCAGAAGTACGATGTAATTTTATTTTGTGTACGGCTATTTTAGGAGTTTTCATTTGGGTTGATTATATATTATTATCAACCCGTGTCCCTTTAGTCTCGTCTCAGGCTACTTGTCATTGAAGTAGAGCTAGCGTGCGGAGTAGAGGAATAAAGAATATTATAACCAACATGACTATATAAAATCTGTTTACGAAGAAATAAATAAAAGAAATTCCAAAAATAAGTAAACCTACCAATAGCTACTTTAAAAAATACTATATAGGGTGGCTTTCCTAAGTGTATCCATTTTTTTTATTAAATTTTAAACATAAATAAAGTTATATAAAAATGATAAATATTTAAAATCACTCATAATTAATTAATTACATTCATTTGAACTGATCTCAGAAAGTGCGTGATTTATGGGCAACTCATTTATTTTACGCGCGATCATTCATAACTAACAGGCACACAATTTCGTTTCAAAAGTAGACGCATTTATGAATGACTACCGCATTGTCAAGAAGTTTGTTGTTGTTTTTAGGAAATAGAATGCCAATTTTTTTAAAAAAAAGTTTGTTTTTATTTCTATAAACGATTATATTACCGAGCCTGAACCTCCGGTGTGAATTTGGGCACCTTTATAAAAGCCAACCTATATAATATATGATAATAAAAATCAACGCTATGTATGAGCAGAACAGAATTTTGCAAATCCGTCTATATATGACGAAGGTATGCCCGAACATACCCACTTAAAAAAAATATAAACATCCGAATTGTCTCCTCCTTCTTTTTGAAGTCGGTTAAAAATAAGTACCTACTTTTTACTTCTATCTGTGATTATAAAATAAATTATAACTTCTTATCACTTGACCACGACTATATGACCCCCCCCTGGCACCAAAGCTGGATCCGCCCTTGTCTCTACACGAGTGACATCTCTAAAGACCCACGAGTCGACCTCGCGGTTTTGGCAGACAACACCTTGACCCGATGACAATTCGTCTCCAAAGTGCTGCCAATCATCTCGGTGACTGGTTTAGCAAACGGAGAATAGGACTAACTCTGAAAATAGTGTAGCAATACATTTTACTCGAGCCTGCCATGTAGCGAACTCCCACCTCGAGCAGAAAGCTATGACAATTACGCTACGGCCAACTGATATCATGGGAAAAAAAGTCTGGAGTCTTAAATGTAGGTTCTAATAATCTACAATTGTGAACTTAGTTATGTCGATGCTGAAATTACCATGTCAGTCGAACATTCCCTTATTTAAATTAAATCAATTGTAGACATTATGTTTTTAGACTTGCTATGCATATGAGGTGCATTGTTTCATAATTAATGCCGACATTCTTCACCAGAATTCTTGTTTGCGGTGATGAGACTCAGAAGCCGTTCCCTCTACTGGTCTGGTCTTTGACTTCGCGCAAGCTGCTCTACGATCTCCGAATACCACATCACGATTTCATCACCTCGAAAGCGGCAATCACGTACGAAGGTAAGGTAACTTTCGCGGTTCATCAGTGTTTTGAAAGTAACAACCAATAATTCCATTCATTTCTATAATAGAGCCGTGATAGCTCAGTGTCCGGGCGCTCGCCTTTAATTCAATATACTCGAGCAACCTGAGTTCGATCCCCGGTGCCGGCACCAATGAAGTTTTTAACTTTAAGTGCTGACTTATCACGTGCTCCGCGGTGAAGGAAAACATCATGAGGAAACCTGCATATTTTCGAAAGAATAACAAAAAAATATATTTCGAAGATCTGTTAAGTCCGCCAATCCGCAGTGGGGCCGCGTGGTGGACTATGCCCTGATACCCTCTGTATAGAGGAAGCCTTTGCCCAGCAGTGGGACATGTATAGGCTGTTACTTTACTTTTTTTTATTTCTATAATAAAAATGAGTCCGTCAATGCCGTCAAATAACTGTAATAAAGTGCGTTGGTAAGGTATTGGCCCAGCGCCTCGGGATCTGGATCAATTCTCACAATGGATTAAAATTATTTCCGTAGACCTTAGATAACAATTGTTCTCGATCGGGGTATATCAGACACAGTGCAAAAGTATCATAAGTAAGGGCAATGTAATAAAAAATTGCGTTGTGGATTTTCCAAGTTTTTTCAGGTTCGAACACAACATCGCGTTAATGGACTGAACATAGAAGCTGAGAAGTGTTTTTTTATACAAAAGTATCTGTCAATTGGTTTTGTCAAATTGGTACGTTTGCAAGGGACTCTTATTAACAATAGAGGTAGCAAAAAACACAGTCTTTCTCGTGACCATGAACGCTTTAGGTTCCGTAGGAATTTAAACCCGTTCCATTAGTCGTTTGTAGTATTCGTGTAATTAGAAGTCGTTACATGAATTTACTCTAGATGTTACGAAAATGAAAATGAATTGAAACCTCCAAATGTGGTCGTGTGCGTTATACATAGATCTGTACTAACGGTATGGTGATGTCACACATTGGTTTGCGTCTGTTGCGTGACCCTATAATAGCTGTGGTAGGGCCACGCAACAGTTCGCTGAACGTATGGGCAGTTCCGTCAGGGTAACCACGACCTCACAGAAGACCGGCGCGAAATGGAATTGTCATACTCCTGCGTTTCGTCTGGTGAGTGAGATATCCGGGGCGCACTTTATTAAAAGGTGACGACGCATCCGCAACCCTACGGGTGTTGCGAATGTCCATGGGCGGCATTACTTAACGTGTAAACCGCCAGCTTGCCATCTTCCCACACAAAAAAAACACATGTCACATGCAGGCTCCTACGTGTGCGTGGTGTCGCGAGAGCTGGAGGAGCCCACGCCGAACTTCATCGTGGTGTACGACCTGCAGTCGGGCACGCTGTTCAAGAAGTGGAAGCCGGGCTGCGACACCGTGGCGCTGGCCATCAGCTCCGCCGACGGCTGCGTGGTCTCCGGCCTAGCGGACACCAGGATCCTCGTGTGGGACCTGGTCACCGGTGAGCGTTGTTGCCCCACGTGACACTACGTGCCTGGAGTGTGTTGTCGCAATTTAAAATTTGTACAAAAAAAGCGTGACACTTTCTGATTCTGAAGTGTTTCCACGATTTAAAATTAGCATAAAAAATGCATAAAAGATTTTCGCCGCTGTGAGGATTCGAACCTGTGTACATACTCACTCGAAGCTCTAGCCAATATTTCCATAATAACAATAGTAATAAATGTTTCGTGCACAGAACATTATCCAGTCACAAACTAAACAAAGTTTTGGTATGGGTACTAGGCAACTGACAAACATACTTAAAGATAGTTTTCTTTTGTAAATAAATACCTATTATCGATATATAAAGAGCCAGAAACCAGAAAACACTATGTTCATACCCGCCGGATAACACTACACCCACAGTTAGTGTAACAACAAACACAATAGTTCGCCCTCGCCTCCGAGCACGGCAAAACCAACACAACGCGTACACCCGCGTTCCAGGGCGGTTCTCACCGCTCCCAGCCACCGATTAGCTAAAAACACATTCGACGGCCATCGGGGTCCTGGTCCGAACCGCAACCTCGATGGCCCTTAGATGACATACCATAGTTAAACGTGGCCCTACCCACAGCGGAGGGCCCAAACCCGTGGGTTCTGGCTAGCACACCAGTTCTGTGTCAGATGAAGCTTCAATAGTCTCGGGACTGAAAGCAAAAACATCAGTTAATACAAGATAGAAGATACTATGTTCATCCATATATTTTCCATTATTGGGAATCGAACCTATATACTCTGGCGCAAGGGACAGGTTCACTATCTACTAAGTCAATTGGGTCTATACGTTCAAAGTAATACCATGTGTACGTCCCACAGCCAGGCATAGACCTCTACAGAGTGCTAATGTGCAAAATGACCACATTGCAGACATAAATTAATTAAAAAATTAACATAAATTAATTAAATAAATTTAAAAAATCTCACATGGGACTTTATTAGCTAGTCAGTTTCCCATTAATGTCGATGTTATTTAGTTAATGTCTATTGACTTCGTGCTGCTGCCCATCCGTGTCTCCTTTTAGTCGTCTTTTACGACAGGCAGGGGATACCTTAGCCCCTGACCACAGGGCTGTTATTATTATTGTATCAATCCTACCGGTCTTTAACAGTCGGTCAATCGCGTTTTCAGGTAACTGCCGGCTAACACTCCGAGGGCACGCTGCCTCGCCGTCTTTGCTCCGCCTTTGCCGCGCGGGGGCCGCCCTATTATCCGCCGACCGCAGCGGCAAGGACCTCTCCGTCCGCCTCTGGGACCTCCACACCGGTTAGTGCGCCACGAACGCCTTACCGAGATTATTTGTTACGTGGTCAAAGGAATTACTAATGAGTTTTTTATTATACATCAGAATAGCTCGCAGATGATAGAATTTCTTTCCTAATTACTTGACATTTATTGTTATATTTTGGGCAATTCACATATATCTTTATATAGCCTATGTATTATTTTGAGATATTGGCTATATTATTGTAAATTTTCAAAAAAATCTGTTCAGTAGTTTTTTGTAAAAAAGTAACAAACATCCATTCATACATACAAACTTTCGGGTTTATAATATTAGTAAGGATATTGTTTTATTTTTTCACTTCTGTTTGCAGTCCCCATGAGACTGTTGTTTTTTGTGGCAACTCTCTCAAAAGTTGCAACTGCAACTCGAAACTTCTAAATGCCATCATTATCGTCACTACACAGTCTACTATAAAACAAAGTCGTCACGCTGTCTGTCTGTCCCTATCTATGATTGGATCTTTAAAACTATGCAACGGATCTTGATGCGGGTTTTTTACTAGATAGAGTGAACAATTAAAAAAAATAGAGTGATTCACGAGGAAGGTTTGTATGTATAATACATTGCACCAGTGCGCAGCCGGGGCGGGTCGCGAGTCGTTACTAATATTATAAATGCGAAAGTTTGTATGTATGGATGGATGTTTGTTACTCTTTCACACAAAAACCACTAAATGGATTTTAATGAAACTATACAATAATATAGCTTATACATCAGAATAACACAAGTCTTTCTGTCTGAATGTTCGCCTTCAGCCTATTCTACGCAGACGTTGTCGCGGGCCGCAGCTAGTCCTCTATAATCTGACTGCCCCACCTGCCATCATCCAACGTTGAACAATTCGCAGGCCAGCTCGTCGCCGTGTACACGCCGCCCGAGCGGATAACATCATGCGAGGTGCTCTTAGGCGGGTCAGTCCTGGCCCTGGCGTTGGAGAACTACAAGGAGGTGGTGTGCGTGAAGCTGCACGGGCCCAGCGTAGACTCCGTGAGGAGCGGCCGCGAGTGCGAATACGACGATAGAGGCTACGGCAACGAGGAGTACGAGGGCAGGACGTTCGACGTCAGGGGCACGGAGAACTGCTAATCAGCGGTGAGGAACGGTGAGGAGAATCCGCGCCGACGGGCGCGCGACCGCTTGAGGAGTTCAGCAGAACTGTAAACCGTTAATGTCAGGTCTTACCGTAAAGAGATTTTACGCTGCAGTTAGTCTTGTTACAGTCTGTTAAATATAGTTTACACATGTATGTACGCAAAATGTACACACGTATGTAACACAATATGGTACTTTATTTCGTAATTATTAATTATTTATTATTTATTTATTTATATTTAACGTATATTTAACAAACTGTACTATTTTAAATTATCTTCGCGGTCTTTATTACTACGCCTTTATTTTCCTCTGGCAGGGTAATATTAAGCACACATATTTCTTTTTGTTGTAAGATTTTTTTATAACGTTAACTGAAATCAATATATTTCTATGTCGTTAACTGGTATGTAGGTACTGATTTTTCTTCAATGGAAATGACGAAAAATAACTACTCTTTACAACTTCATGCTCTTACATATCATGATTTATGTAATGAAATCAACCTGGTTCATATTTTTTATCATTACTTAAAAAATCGCTTCTTTGATATCACCGTTAACACAACAGCGTCGGCAGACCTGATATTAACGGCTAATATTCCTGCAAACAGGTTGCAAAACAAAAACTGTGTGGAAAAGGAAAAAAGGAAAATATTTCTCATACACTACAAATGTCATCTGTAGTCGTATGGTGAATAACCAAAAAACAATTAATGTTTTGATCTATTACGCTTATTAATTACATTATTATAATAAGAATTGTATTTAGTGAACTTCTCTAACTGTAACGTTGATGTTTATAGTAATAAGTATATGGTGAATTAACAATTAGTCATGTAATTAATTAACATCCCTATTCCGAACTTAATAAATATACCTTTAACGATAAAATAAAACGTAAAACTCCTCAAATATTCATATATATGTTTTTTAATTTACATTGGCTTTATCGTTCGGGCTGTTGTCCATTCATCCATCCAAAATAAATGTACACGTCATTGTTTATGGCGATTGATGAATATGGAAGATGAAGAGAGCAGCAATACGCTACAAGGTTACAACCGGAGTTGTATGACTTTTAAAAGTATTAAAATAATAAATATGGTAAAGTCTTAAACAATTCCGAATCTAAGTAATTACTTTTGGTTGAACCTTATAACGATATTTGCGATGGTGTTTATGATTTTTATGCAGCTATAGCAGTGTACAGTTCGTTTTTTTTTTGATATTTATATTTATTTTATTTCTTAACAACAAATAAAATAACTATGACAATAGTACAAATAAAGAGTAATTTCAAAGATTTACCCAACTAGAAAAGTACTTTATTTAGAAACATGTAACTAATTATCAGTTAGTATATATATACTATAATCTTCCGACAGTATCATTAGTGTTGACTAAGAGTTAAAAAATAACCGCATTTGTGTAAACGTTCTAAATAATGCAGTTAAAAGTTAAGGATGAAATAATAGTTAACTAAATAAAGGGATGGAAGATGGAATACTTTAAATCTAAAAATGTGTACCTATGCTATAAAGGTAATTATTTTTATTATGAATTACAATTTATTAAATAGTCCACTATGCTTTCATTCATATGCAAAAAGTTTTTTGTTGTAATACATGTATTTAATTTTACGACATAGATAAAAAATATTGCATTAAAACATTTTGAAGTCAATATCAATTGATTCTTACATATTTGTACGATAATTTAAACATTGAAAAATTACGTAGGTACATTTCGTTACAATATTTTCGTACAAAACTAACAACTTTAAAAAAAAAATAGTACCTATAGCATTCACAACCTTAAAAGTATTCTACTATATTAGGCTTATATTGATGCTGGTACGTCAATAATAATTCAGTTATCAATGTGAACTGTGACCAAACGTATAAATTTTTCCTTCGGATAGTTATAAAGGAATACGCATTAATATAGTATATTGTTAGTAGTAGCGAAGACTATTTCAGCAGAGCCTGCCCATTCATTACGTTGAAGGGATGCAGCAACAAATTGAATGCAAAAATTGTTGCTCTACGCTTCTGCTGTTGCACGAATGGGCAGGCTCGTCCGGGCAAATGCCAACCTCTCATAGATCGGCATTAAGTAGAAGTATGATGTTATGGTGTTTCATCTGGTAAGTGAGGTAACCCCCTCTTTTTAAAGGTTGGCAACGCATCTGTAAAGCCTCAGGTAGATTGCCATGGGCGGTGGTAGTCACCGCACATCAGGAGAACCGCCTGCTCGCTTGCCAACCTTACACATAATATGATATAACATATAACTGCAAATACCACGTTTGACATAATGATGGATTGTAAAAAATCTTAATATAAAAAATGAAAGGAACCAAAACAATAGATCATTTTATTGTGTATTTCACTGTAACTCGTGATAACATTTTCGAGTTAAATCGTTTTGATGTAAATACCAAATAAACTTGTGAATATGGAATAAATTGGACAAGCCCATATTTTTAAATGTACGTACGTTTTGGTGAGAGCCTACGAAATTATTACATAAGTTTAAATAATTTTCATACTATTTCTTATCTCTTTTCCTCTTTCCTTGCTCGCAGCTTAATAGTATTCGTGTATTCTTGGTAAAAATAAAACCTGATTTCCCCTACTTATTAAAATTAAATTTAAGATACTAATTTACATGTACCAAATAGATTTGCTTTATTTTACCATATTTTTAGTTCTACGTAATCTATCTTGTTCACATTGCATACTAAAAAAAATATATATTTTAACGTATTGTTTGTATTAATACATTATTAATATATCAAAATGTATTTAAAATTTAAAGTAACACACAACATAAATCTTAGTTTTAGCTTTTACATGAAGGGAAAAAAAACAAACCATAAAATTTTACATTAAACAATGATGTTTTATACTGCAGATATGTTGTTAACGCCCTAATTATAATATATCATTTGCATTAAAAATTAAATCTATAAACCACTTTCTATATTTATAATGTCTGAACCTTTCATTGTAATTAAAGTTTCTTCCTTAAAACGATAATATATATCTATATTACTATTTTAATCATTTGCATCTAATATCTTAATTAAAAAAGTAAGGCGCCATTTAATGTACTTCCATTTTTAATTAAGGATCTGTATTGTTAAAACCTCTTGTAACATATTGTAAAAACTATATAGTTTTTACAACTATAAATATATAATTTAAAACTATAGAGTTTGTCTATAGAGACAGTACAGAATTTTAAACAAAATCTCATGTCTAGTCTCTGAAACTGCCGTAACAATTGTATAACCATATATTTTTAAGGATAAGGTAAAGAGAATATCCTTTAAGATTATATACTTGACAAGTATAGAATCAAAGAGAATAATATATTATCTTGTCGTGGAAAGAAATTGACAATTATTATATTAATTATTAATATTGTTTTATTTCGAATTCTTTGAAGATACAGTATAAACTGATTTTTGTTTCCACTAAAATATTCGTATCTATATTTTAAACAATGTCTTTAATTCTAAATGTCAAATTTCAAACCATTACATTAACTTAACGTATGAAATATGTACTTATTATATATCTAATTTGTAAGTTGTGTATCAATGTTAACGCGCAATATTAACGTAAATTTTCTTGTTACTATCTTTTCTAATCTCTTGTGATTATTTGATTAAACGATATCGGTCTTATTAACGTAGTCTGGCTACTTTCGGAATAAATAAGATTGAGCTATTATGTAAAAAAATATATTGATTAAAAACTGTTTTGTTTAGTAGCCATACGGCGTGGTCTTACAAATAATCTAAGTGGAATTATCAGGCTGGTCCTCGATACATAATCTAATATATTAATTAATTAAGTAATCCATATATATTTTAAGTATTCATAACAATTACGTAGAAACATCTTAATTTCATAATAAATGTATAACTCAATATAAATAAAATAAACAATTGGTAATGTTAAAATTTAATTTATTTATTCTGGCCAATTGCGTATAATTGATGTCCTGATTAAATTATTGTAAAATATGAATACTCTTTTCATTTTATGGACATCTTCCTTTACGAGTCACTCGAAACAAAACTTATCGGTGCAAACCGCAAATGAAGAAATTGTACATTACCCTTTTTGTGATCACTGTGACCGATTTTTAATTAATAACATAAGCAAAAAACAATTTATTGAACGAACAATAATCATTAAAGTGACCAGACAGTTGCTGCATGACAAATGGCAGAAATAGTAATTATTTAATCGGCGAAAATCAGTGGCTTCTACTGGTGCATGAATCTGCAGAGAAACTACACCAACATAAAACTACGACGCAAAAATATAATTACCCATTCAGGATCTATTTTTACTTTTCGTTCGTTGTTATAGATGTCCATGTGTGGGGGGGCAGTAATCATTTAATATGAGGCTAGCCGGCTGTTAAGTAATGTGAAATGCAATCACAATAATGCGCCTGTGATAGTTATCAACTACCTAATCTGAACAAAACAATCAATCTAATCGTAGAAATAACTAATAAAATATCAGACGCCTATTTAGTAGATATGACTCATAAATCAAAAAGTATGGACGAAAACTCCATACTAACAGGTTTCACTTTCGAGGAAAACAGGGAACATTGCCAACGAAAACTTCTTTTAAATTTTAAATATTCTTTGATAACCTATTGTGCATTAATTTGTCATTTATTTTTTTGAATTAGCGGCACTTCCAAGTCTTGTTATACCCCAAAATGAATTTAACGCGTGACAATTTCGATCCATGATGTTATTACGAATTTCTTTGTGGTCTTGCTCAACAACAAACCTAGGATAGACTTCCATTGGCATTTAATAATGAAGCCCCATCCCGTGCCACTGTATACCATTGGTTTAATGAATTTTTGTGTGGGCGTAGCAATCTCCGTAGGAATCAGCGTTAGAGACGGCCTTCAAGAGTGAAATCTAAAGATAACATCAGTGTTGTGCGACGCATGATAAAGAAAAATTAGAGAGACCTGCAGTTTCGGGCAAGCTTAGTACGAGTCAAGTCCAAAAATATTGCACGACCATTTAAGCGTCAGGAAGCTTTGTACCAGATGGATTCCCAATACTTTGGCCGAAGAACAAAAAAACCTTCGCAGGGATTGGTGTCACGATTTCTTAGAAAAGTTAAACAGAGATGATTCTAATGCTATATTAGACATCTTCACAGATGATAAAAGCCAGATATATTGCTACGACCCAAAAACCAAAAGAAAACCTGATATTTTACAAAAAAAAGGATTTCTAGTTAAGTATGCCCAAAGAAGTCAAATAAAAATGACGATTGCCTTGCTCTCTAAGCGGAAAGGTAATTTCGTGACAGCTGTGCTGGAAGATGGGACAGTTCCTAAAAAAATGAGATTTATTCGACACAAAATAGACAGACGCATTCATTTTAAACAATAAATAAAAAAACATGGACATAAAATATAAACCTCCAATGTGTATAATTTTACCTTTTGACTATTCGTCATTGTTACCGTCATATTTCACGCCAAAAACCCAAAAAGACATTACTAAGCAGAATGTTGCAGTAAAAACTGCTTAAGACTGTTGTTTGCCTGTTGTCGTGTAAAATGTTCGACAAAAGTTCGTCCAAGCAGGATCCTCCTTCACCATGAAACGAACTATGGAATATTGACTATGGCAGGTGACGAGACTGCGTCTTTCATTTATTTCCAATAATCAAAGACAAACTTCGACGTATTCGCTTTGCGAGTCCTGAATATGCAGCGCCAGTGAGTGCGTTACAAAATACCGAAGAAAAGACCCTTGGGGAAGAATGGACCCAATATTTTTCTCAGTGGTTCCATCGTATGCCAAGATATAAAGAACAGTGGAGTATGGAGACTACTTCGAACAGCAATGAAAGTGCCAACATTCTCAAGATTTACGAAAAAATTACGAATACTGTACGAGGCCATTTTTTTGCCTCGTATTAAAAAAATGGAATATATGGATTGTGTTTTTAATTCATTACGCTCTAAATCTTTTGTATTTTGCATAAAATTACACATGATTTGGCTAATCAAATTCTAAGAGAAAATGTTAAAATCGTCACAAATGACAAAAGGTAAAAATTTTGTCAAAAGTTTTATTAAATTTCAAAATCAAAAGTTCATTTGCTATTTAAAACTTGTGTGCTTGTGTGTTTGTTTAGGGATACCTACTTATAAAAATTTACCTTTAAATGAGGAAGATTTTGTATACATGGTTAGTTTTTTTTAAAATTGATTATGCAGAATAATTTAGTATCATAAATTAGTTGTTAATAATAAATAATTAGATTTATATTTCTTTAATTACATTATTCACAGCAAAATAATAATACTACATCTAAATCTCCATAAATTAGCAGGATTGGAAAAGGCCCTTTTTGCGCATTTCTTCAAACTCCTTTTCAGCATCGTAATTTCTGAAACAATGTTTTTATTTCATTATTAATATATTCATAGATGTTGTGTTTTATTTTTGAACAATATTCAAGTAGATACAAAAATAGTAATGTTGTAAATTATATAATAAAAAGTGTTTGTTTTCCTTATTTCACATTCAATAATGTTTACATGTAAAATAGGGATATAGATATTATCCTATAGAATTACAACTGACATTCATTCACTTAGGTAAGCAAACAATTTTAGTAATTATTCATTCACCTTTATGCCTTAAAGCCGTACACTCACCTGTAGAATTCAGCATATTTCCTCTTGCGCTCATTACCAACAAGCTGCTTGAATGCAAAGCCAGACAAACCAGCCAGAGTCAGCGCCACAATCAGATTGCGTTTGATTACAGAATTGAGAAGGCCACGCATCTGTGGCTTGGATACAGTTGAGACTGCCTTGTCCGCCATCTATAATAGGAAATTATTAAATGAATGGACAGAATGTTAAAAATATGTCAAGCCAATTCTGCCTTATAACCCAATCACCTAAACCATTCTGGATTAGTCTTTTTTTTTCCATGTCCAACATAAGGTAACACATTTATTATATAATTTAGATTTTTATCGACAGGCATTAAAGATTTTGAACTATATTTATATCAAACCAGACACTATTCATCAAGTGCAAAGGAGAGTCTAATTTTTCAATTTTAAAAAAAGCAATATAATTGTACCAAATCCAACATCAAAAACCTGGTGCTAATAATATTTAAAGTGGTATAAAATTATATAAAAAGAGTAGAGGTCTATTAACAGAGTAACAATAAATTCATTAAACTATTAGGAGAGTGTACACCCTTTTCAATGGTGACAGTACTAAATTTTCTAGGTTAATTTATTTGTTAAATTCTTCCCTGTCATTTGGCACAAAAATGCAAATATAAGATTAAAAAAAAAGAATTACATCAATTTTTTTTTATTTTTAAATAATAAAAATGCTGGCAGTAATGAAATTGAGTGAATTTTTAAAATTGTCATTTGTAAATAGTACTGGTGATTTTACACCATATCAGTATCACACACTTGATATATTACATACTATTTGGATTTTTTATTTTTAACTTTTCAGTTGACTTCGAAGTTACTCTTTTAATTTTATCAGTGTTGTTGAAGCTTAATTTCTTATAATACAAACGAAAATTTTCAAACTGAACTGTACAGAATAAGTTTTAAGTCAATAATCCTTAACCTAAATCCAACACATGTGAATAACAAAAAATTAAATTATATATGATAGTGAGTAATAAGAATAATAAAAAATTATAATCTCTAATCATACCAAAAACCCTTCTTACATAACACTATTTCTAAAAACATAAAAGCAGTTCTACTTCACTTGTCATTTATATCGTGCCAAATTATTAAATAAGACACAAAAAAGGAAATCTAAGCTTAATAATTAAAAGTATACGATACTAAGATAATAAAAACGTTATACTTACGGTTATAATTACGAAGATTTATCAGAAACACTCGTTCAATGGAATAAAATAGATATCAGATCCAATCCAGACCCCAGACAGCAAGTAGAAATGTAATACAGAGTATAACAGACTTCACTTGGTTTGAACATAGCTAATAAAAGTTATAAATTGATTGCTTTTTCTTTTTTTTTTGTATTGGATGAGGTCTGCAGCAGGTAAACAAGCTGCAGATTCAAGGAACTCTAGAAACAAAGTAGCTGGTGCACAACGACATCATCCTGACGATGCCTCCTCCGCTGCATCTACGCGACCCGTTTTAATGAAAAATGAATACTTCGAACAGGCACGACATGATTCAAAGACCTCTTAGAAGGAGGAGATTCAAACTGGTATCTTCTAGGTAACATAACCCAGACGCTCTAGGCAACTAAGCTAAACACAAGATATCCTTATGACAACGAATTCCCGACAAGTGACTGCAACCGTAATAACATTTAACAATGAATATTTTAACCTCGGGATATCGGACATTTGGTACCAGATCAATCTGTGACTGCAGAGTCATAAATATTACTCACGTGTACGGAAACATAGGTATCTCTAGAACGTATTAAAAATATTATTAAAACTACTGAACTTGAAAGTCGGCATTTTCATATTAAATTAATTTTGTAGCTGGAATCCGGGATTCTGTAATACAGTATTAGTAAAAGCGTTGCAGAAAGTCGTTTGTTTGTAGAAAAAGAATTATTTATTAATTATTCTGACATTTAGTCTGAAATAATTCTTTTGCAATTTGTATTAGTGCTTTCAGAATTTAATTATTCATAGCATATTTCATTTAAAAATTGAAAAAAAAAATACCCAAATGGTTATTCCAGTTTTAGGTTCTTTTCTTCGGCAGTACCATGACTGCTATTTTATTTTATTATGGCAGACCCGCCTTACGTCCGGAACAATTTAACTGTGGGTCACACAAATAATTGTCCCGAATGGGAATCGAAGTCACGATACCTAACAAAGAATATAAAAACAACAGTTTAACAATTGCACCATCGAACCATCGATCGATCTATCCAATCTATTGAAATACATTTTTAGGAAATAACTATTTTTATGAAAATGAATAAAATGTTTTTCTAACACAAAGATGTGATTATAGTCGACAAAGAATGTTGATTAAATGGATATTATTAATGATTTGGAAAACCAATTAAAGGCCATTAGGTACACTCTTATGAACTGTATGTGAAGTACTGCAGCTTTTAAAATCCAATCCAATTATCCAGTAGTACATTTTAGAAAATAATTGGGAAGAAGTACAGTAGAATAATAGTTTTGTGTTTAGCTTAACGCCGAGATATTAGGTCTTGCGGTCCCATGGTCCTTTTTGTGGTGGTTCGAATGACAATTAAATATGATCGCCTTATTCTTCTCCGGGTTAACCTCGATCCACCACTTTCTGAAATATTCACATCTGAGTATATTCGGCGTATCGCGGAATCAGCAAATGTAGTAAAGTACTTTAAATATCGCCACAGAGGGCAAATGAGATCAGCAGGGAGTTTTATCATAAAAAAAGACAGATCTTTTGCATTTTCTTCAAAAGGATCGAGGCGATTGGACACGACCCACTTGTTGATGATTTGTGCAGCTCGTCGTTGGATACGGACGAACAGAAGGAAATTCGGTTTATGGGCGCAATGACTTCAATTATTGATTTCACACCTACAATTACTAACTGTAAGCTATATACTAACTTGTCACTTTAATGCTTATTGTCGTTTGACGAAAAAGCAGTCGCTTTAACCGTATCTAAGTGTAATAATGGTTAAGATATGTGGTCCCTTTTAGTATCAGATTCCTTAAATCTTACTTACCGGTTACCTATAGGTACTTACTTACCGGTTACCTATAGGTACTTACCGGTTACCTATAGGTACTTACTTACCGGTTACCTATAGGTACTTACTTACCGGTTACCTATAGGTACTTACTTACCGGTTACCTATAGGTACTTACTTACCGGTGGACAATGACTGTCTTTTACTCTAAAGGAGACCTTTAAACAGTAAACCACTCCGCTAATGATGAAAAAGTTCACTTAAGGACGCATTTGACCCTCGTGTGGTGAATCCGACATGGTTGACTACGCCATGGTTTAACGCTGAGCATATTTACTTTTATTCCTCCTGCCCCTTTTAAAAAGAATAATGTTAGTAGTTTATACAGTTTTCCTTTTTTTTATAAACGTATAAAAAGAAAACCTTTATAACGAACTAGCTGACCCGGCAAACTTTGTTTTGCCATATAAATTATTTGTAGGGTAGAAAAATGTTTGGGGTGGACCACCCTCAACATTTAGGGGGATGAAAATTAGATGTTGTGCGATTCCCCACCCTGGCCGATACGCACACAAAATTCATGAAAATCGGTCGAGCCGTTTCGGAGGAGTTCAATTACAAACACGTGACACGAGAATTTTATTCAGCGTGTCTTTACCATCGCGACAATAAATGAACACACATATAGAGGATAACTTTTTAAAATTGTATTAAAGATTTACATTCTTTAAACAACAATATTTAACGAGTTATCAAATTTTCCAAAACAAAGAATTTTAGAACACCCTTACGTATAAAACTTTAAAGTTCATTTGTAAAGGTTACGAAGCATATGAATGGGTTGAATGAATTTAAAAGAGACAAAACATACTGTTAGAAGGAGAGGCTTGTAATGCGTCGCTTTAGCAACGAATGAATCAGACAGATGTAGTTGTATAGGATGTTACAAATTTTGTTTCTTTTTTACTTAATTAGTTTGAAAACATTTATTGTATAATTATGGATTTTTTTAACGTTAACATTTTTTATGATTATTGGCAAGTAGCGTTAGACGTGTCTTCATTTATTGTCGCGGTGGTAAAGACACGCTGTATATTAGATGTAACAAGTCTTGGGTGTAATGAATACAACAAACAATTTTTTTATTCATTTATTAATAAACTAACTTTACAAATTTAATAATAGCAGAACAATAATAATCCTTATTTCTTTTCATTCATAATAATATGATAATAATTCACCATGACTCATCGTACTTTATGAATATAATTATATGATTTTAAAAATAATGTAGAACGACAGAGAAAGCAACTTACAGAAAAATAATGCACAATAAAAAAATGGGTAAACGAACTTTCATTATTTGCCAGCAACAAATTTTTTTGTCGTTCGCGTCATTCACTAACCCCTGTTGGGGGCGCCCTTCCCAAGTAATAACTCTACTAGAAAAAATATTACAATAACATAAAGTTAATTTTTTATTGTATCAATTCTTTTTATTCACTATTTCTCTGTCTATGTACAAGTTATATCATGTTTACATACCAAAACTATATGCTATCTGTGTGGTGTAACCCCTATACTATATTTATAGTGTTTTAAAACTATTTGTATCTTCTCTTTTTCCATAGTAATATATAAATGTATAATAATATAGATATTTCATCGGCATAAATTACTATAGATTAGTCGAAAAAACAAAAACAATAAACCAAAAATGATTACTATACACCCAATATACAGAGCTAGGTTTGAGAGTTCATTCACTATTATTATATGGTACACGCGGTTCATTCGAATTTATAGTACAAGGCAACGTATTTCTACATACAGAGGTCGGTCCGTAAAAACGGCCGTTAGAATGGCGCCAAAAGTTATGTACAACGCTAGAAGAAAATAAAAGGAAACAAACCGCCAAAACCGCCCGAGAAAGGGCGGGAAACGAAATAAGAAAAAAATACTTAACGCGTAACATATATTAAATTTCCCCATCTATACATAAAAATTTACAAGAGATTGTACGGATCGGCTAGGACCAATCGTTCTCTAAACTAATAAATTACGAAACTCAAACGAAAACCGTAAATTATAACCGTCCGCCGGGCCCCTACGCCGCCGCCGCAGCGCCACCTAGCACTAACTAATCGTAACAACGAACGCATCACGCGCGCAGCCCCGACTGGAACACGTCACAGGGCACTAGATCAGGCAATGTGGTTTCACAAATATAAAATACTCTCAATACTCTATACATACTACGTACGTACCTAAAAACACATTTTTTTTGTATTGTATCACTGTCCGACCTAACTGACACCCTTTGAACGACGTGGGGAAATAACAACGATAAGAGTTCGGGAGGAGAGGGATGGGGGGGAAAGATGGGAGTCTAACGGGTCGTGAAATACTGGAAATGTGAAGGGTTTATAATAAACGCACGAGACGTAAGGCGGTCGATTATAACGACCATTCCGTATAAAAGTAATCAAAGAGTCACATCCACGAATTATTGCTTTGGATCATATCCTCTCAGACATAGGAACCGCAAATGAAAAACGTATGCAAATATATCCTATCATGCTCACCGCCTTTACACACCAGCTACAGTACACTATGAACACGTAAAATTTTGTCTGCGAAACGCGCATTGCAAGGTTCAATTTTGATATCCAATTCAATCACACGCCATTAATGAACCAATAAGTTCCTCAAATGATGAACATGACATCCGTACGAAATGACAGGACTCGAAAAATATATTTAATCTATGCATTACTATTAAGTGACTGTATATTAAAATATTGTGATAATAAATACTACCAACTACGTAGGAGAACAGAATTCCATTTTGCAATATTCAATCAATTATGTACAGTGTGAAAAGAAAGGCTAGCTAGCTTACACTTCTACGTTAAGGATCACTGGTTTAAAAGAAATCGTCGATTAAAAGTTATATTTTATAAAAATGTCAACGAAAAAAAAAATGAAACGAGGAATCAGAAATTAAAAATGGGGCGTCAAACAAAAAATAGTTTAGTATACTGGAAGCCCAAACAGACAAACTGTTGAAACACTCAGTCACGATTATTATCATTTCACTAAGAAATTATTAAGTTTCGTGTCACATTAAAATTACAATTATTGGTCGTGAATTTCCTTAAATATATAAACGCTAATGTTACATCGTAATAGCGGCGATTGCATCACGCGGGAAACCGCCATCTTGTTTCGATTGTTGTCATTTATTTTCAAATTCCCAGTCAATAAATATAAAGAACGTTAACATATACAAAATGGCGGAATCCCGTAAACACGAATAAAAACTACACGCGGTTCACTTCACCGATCACGATATTATAAGTTACGTGCAAAAACGTATGAAAATATCTTTTAAAACTTTATGCATTTATTTTTATATCTCTCGGGCATTTATCCTATTATAACAATGTGCCTACAAGACGAGTGCTCTTTTGTACAATAATGAGACATTTCTATATACTATACTAAGGCTCCCACGTTTGGCTTAAGCTCTTCTGGCGAGTTCAGCCGAATGGTGGTGTAAAATACGTCGACGCTCTTAAAAAATAGGCGATAGAGGAAAATAACTTACATTTAAAATGAAAACGTCAAGTGCTTTATAGTGAATGGTAACATTTGTTCACTAGTTAAAAATATAACATAAGCTGTTTTGAGTTCTGGTGTTATCAGGAACGGGGCAATTGTTGTTTGAACACTTTCGTATGATAATATCGCACCTAACCAACCCGTTTGCGGCACACGCGCTAAACGATTTAAAAAATTCTAATCACTGTCACAGCTCCCCACTGCATATTGCACGAAAACGCCAACACTTCACACACCGCTGAGATTCACTAAATCCAATGAAAGCCAAACGAGTTCCAATTTCGAGGTGCACGCCACGCGTGCGTGCAAAACTCCCACCGCGGACACCGAACGGCGCGGGAACGGCCGCAGATTAAAAATGAATCTTTTCAATTTGACAGCGACAGTTCGCCGTTTCGGCGCGACGCCGTCGGCCGGCTCCCGGTGACGGCTGCGTTTTTCTCTCGGCGCGGGCAAAGGTCGCGGGGCGCGGAGCCGGCCGCGCGCGGTGCGCGGCTGACGCGGTGCGTCGTGTCAGTCCAGCGGCAGCGGGTAGAGGAGCGCGAGCGGCAGCGGCAGCGGCATCGGGCCTTGGGGGGGCGGCGGCGCGGGGCGGGGCTCCGCGCGCCGCCGCCGTCACTTGCCGTCGCGGGACGCCCGCCTCCGCCTCACCGCGCCGGCGGTCGCGCCCGCGCTCTCGCCGACTGAAACAGGGCGGCGCGGTTATTCCTCGTGCGTCGTACAAGTGGAACATTTTCATGGTAACATTAAAAGAAAATGAGCTATACTTCTTTTCTAAAAAAACATTTTGCATTTATACAGCGTATCGTTACCATCGCAACAATAAATGAACACACGTCTAACGCTACTTGCCAATAATGATAAAAAAATATTAACGTTAAAGAAAATCCTTAATTAAAAAAAAATATTTTTCAAACAAACTAATTAAGTAAAAAAGAAACAAAATTTGTAACATCCTATACAACTCGCGCCACAGCGTCGTATTACAAGCCTCTCCTTCTAACAGTATGTTTTGTCTCTTAAATTCATTCAACCCATTCATATGCTTTGTGACGTTTACAAATGAACTATACGTTACGCTTTTATAGGTAAGGGTGTTCTAAAATGCTTTGTTTTGGAAAATTTAATAACTCTAAATATTGATGTTTAAAGAATTTAAATGTTTAATACAACTTTAAAAAGTTATCCCCTATATGTGTGTTTATTTATTGTCGCGATGGTAACGACACGCTGTATAAATTAGGACCTGTTAAAAACTTATAGCATCTACCGGCAGTTACAAGAATTCATGCTGTTGTCATTGTCAGAGCACAATAGTTAAGGAATATTCAATTGCAAATAAATCCGCCTTTAGATGAATGCCAAATACATGTTTGAATACCCAGAGATGGGAAAGAGTAACATAAATAAAAAAATTCAAAGAGAATCGGAATAGGTGAACAGCAAGTAGGAGCCACTGATAGTATACTAGAACATATGGTATGGTATGCGGGAAGTCGATGGTTGCAGGCGGCTCAGGAACGTGCTTAATGGCAGTCTGTGTGCCCATGTTCAGCGGTGGATTTAAAAAGGCTGCAATGGTGATAATTCTTTTTTTTGTCTGAATTTGAATGGGCAACCCCGTCCGGGAAAGTAAGACGACCTCACAACCGGCGTGTAGTGAAAGTGGTTCTGCGTTTCGTCTGATATGTGAGGTAACCGCAACTCACTTTAGCTACCGCACTTAACATCAGGTGAACCGCCAGCACGCTTCTCACACGAAACAAAAACAAATATGTATAGGGGGGGGGGGGCTCACCTGCGCTCCTCGTTTTCCGTCGGACAGCGGTGTTGTTGGGCGGCGCGGCCGGCATCGCCGGTGCGTTCGTTGCGCCGGCGGCGGGGGGCGGCGGCCCGTGCCTCACCGACCTCCTCGTGCCCACGCCCTCCACGCCCTTGGCCGCTTTTATGCTCACCGGCTTCATCCCCTTGCCCGTCTTGCCCCTGACCTTGCAGATCAGCGGCTCGTCGCTGTCGCTGTCCGACTCCTTCTTGAGCTTGCCGCACGCCACCGGCGCCGCCGCATTGGGCGGCCTCTGGTCGGGCCTGCGCGGCTTCTTCTTGGGCCTGCCCGCCGGCGGGACGCCCTCCTCGCAGCTGAACGTCGACGCGCACGAGCTCTCGGACTCGCGCCGCTTCCGCTTAGCGCCGGGGCCGGGTTTCGCGGGGGCGGGCGTCGCGTTGGCGGCCCTGGGGCTCGCCTTGTCCGCCAGGCAGTTCCTGGGCTGCAGCGCCGGCGAGTCGGACCTGTCCGCCTTCGTGGTGGTGGTGGTGGTGGCGGCGACGCCGGGGCTGAGCCGCGGCGTCTTCGGCCCGTCGGCAGGGCTGTTCATCTTGCTGCTCGACCGCGTGCGCACCGTGCTCCTCGCGACCCGCTCCAGCGTCGACGGCGACGGCGACTCGGGCCTCTTGCCCGCGTAATCGGGCGTCGGGATCTCGATGAGCAGCTGCTCGAGCAAACTCTTGTCCGGGAAGTCCGCCTTAAGCGGTAGCCTTTCCAGCTTCGGCTCCTTCCCCTTCGCGGGGTCCGTGCGCGTCTCGCCGTTCTCCGACACGGCGCACTTCTCGTCCTTCGGCTCGCCGGGGCAGACCTTCTCCTGGTTGGAATACGTGTACAGCGGCGGCGACATTCTGCTCGGCAGGTGGTCGAAGTCGTCGAGCCCCTTCTCCTTCTTGGGTGACGCGCGCGGCTCGTTCGCATCGCTTTGCGCGACGTTGCATTCCAATTTGGCCTCGTCTACTGCCTTCAGCTCCAGCTTGTCGCCGCCGTCCGTGCGCTCCGTCCGCTCGGCGCTCTGGCGCTCCTTCTCGTCGTCCCTGAGTATCGGCGTGGGCTCCCGCTTCGGCTCTTTGGTCTGCGCGCGCTCGGCGGGCGGCCGCCTCGCCGCGTCGTCGCCGTTGACGTGGTCCGCGTGCATCTTGGCCAGCTCGGCCTCGATGTCGCCCAGGTCGTCGATGTCCGGCGGGCCGGGGTCGTAGTGGGGCTGGCCCGTCGCCAGCGAGAGCCTCTCGAGCAGCTCGTCGGAGGCGGGTGGCGGCTCGATGACGCCGATTATCCTCTGCACCGAGGTGGGGCTGGTGGAGCGGGGCATGTCGAGGCGCTCCTTGCGCTGCGGCCCCGGCGGCGACTGGCTCGCCTGGTTGGGCGACTTCTCCGAGAGCGCGTCCATGGACTCGATGCCGGAGTCCTCGCCCTGCGCCTGCGAGTTGGGCGAGCGGTTGCCGAACTTGTCGGGCTCGGGGCGGGCGGAGCGCTCGGCGACGAGCTTGCAGTACGACTTGTCCTTGGGCCGATCCCTGCGCCGCGGCGAGACCGCCCCGGGGCGCTGACTAGACGCGGGCGGCGGCGACTCCACGCGGCCGCCCCTCATTGTGCCTACGTTTGTCGATCCAGGGGGATCTGGAATACCATCAAGCAAACTATATACGTCAAAATCTAATTCACCCTCCCTCAAGCCTCGACTGCACGTGTTTTAGTATTGTTTCGGGCGCGCCTTCGTTTTCGTTTTTATTATTTTTTTTTAGTGTTTCTCTTCAAGCAATATTTGATTGTGTGCGCTTTTAAACTACATGATAGTTAGACTTCCATTCAAACCCATCCAATTATTATGCGATGCTGCAACAAACAGACAATTTGCCAAACTAACAAGCAGAACTTGTGTTATAATTTTGTAGTAAGATGGCCAATATTATTAGTAATGTTAAAAAAGGCAGCTTTCTACCTCTTCAATATTAAAATTTTGAAGTGCTTGGCAAAAAATACATTCACTGTTAGGGTTCTAAATGTTTTATTTCATTTTATGTTTAAAATATATTGCTTAAAATTATTCACAATTTACACATCATTAAAACAATAAATAAGACAATCTTTACATGACATGTTGTTAAGCATAACACTGCAAATGAATTTGATGAAAATGACATAGTGACATGTTTTATAGAGGGGTATAAACATTGGCTAATAAATTTTCTCTATATAAAAGTTTGATAAATATTCTGGGTCTCATAGTTACTTCAAGTTGTGTAAACACATTAACTTAACACTATATACAATATCAAAATATTTTTGAAAAACACTCATTTAACAAAAATATTTTGCAACTCTACAAAACATAAAATCTTCCCGATATCAAAATATGTACACTAATAAAATAAATGAGTTTAAATTTTTTTCATAGTTTTGTCAAAAGTAACATAATTTTGTTATTATAAATAAGCATCTTTGCATGTTAAAATTGCTTATATTTTGCACTTGCACTATAACAACATTTATTCATAAATATTTGCTCTAAGAAATACACAAAACACATTGCATACAAGAGTGACTCAAATATACAAAATTAAATCTTACTGGTGTTAAACTTCAAAAATAAAATTTCTAATTCTTGAGATATGAAAAAAAAAGGAATAATCTCTTTAATAATGATAAAGCTCCACACTTGATATGCATTTGTATTTTGTGCATATCTTCCCTTGTACATGTCACAACAATTTATAGTTTCAATAAGCTTGTGTACGTACCTGGACAGGAACTATGGCTAGTCTTCCGTTTTTTCTCGGAAGTTATCAGTCCGTTGGGTGAGGTAATTGCACTGTCAGTGAGTGTTCGTTTCAATTTGTTGTCTTCACTAGCCCTGTGCGTGTCAAACTTTTTCGCGTCCGCTACGTCATCCGCACTTAGCGTCCGTTCTAAACTCTTGTGACACTTAACCCTGTCCAACTCACTAGCACCACATTTTACACTCTCATTATACACCGCGTCCAACTGCATTGTTTTTACATCACTGGACTTTAAATTATCACATTTTGCACCGCCGTCCTTCTCTAGTTTTGGAGTTGGTAACTTCTTTTTCGCTTCGTGGTTATTCGGGGTCTCTCTGTAGCCCTCGTTCTGGGCGTACTTCCCTTCTTTCTCTAACAAATCGTTCCTGCAATCTTTGTCCCGTTCTTTCTCTATCGCTTTACCACTCTCGCTGATGAATTTCGATTTCTTTTTCATCTTTAAATTGTCCAATTGCACTTTGTTGTTCAAAAGTTTGCATTCGTGCGATTTGGTGACAATATGAGCATTCTTTGATATCGTTTTCATTCTATAGACGACATTGTTGTCTCCCGTGATCTCGGTTTTTATTGCCTCACCCTCGGCATAGTGATTATTTAACTTCATGTTCTTGACATGCAAATACTCGTCAGTCTTTGTGTTCTCAGTGCTGTCTCCCGACTTGGTCGCGAGAGACTCCTCAGAGTCCCGCCTGTGAGACTTGTCATCGGATTCTATGGATTTCCTTATTTTGATCTTCTTCATATGCAAGTCTCCCGGACTGAACTTCTTCTCCTTCTTCTTGGAGTTCTTTATGACCGCTGAGTTTCGACCCCTAAGGCTGATATGTAGCGGCGGCACCCTCAGCTCACCACCGTCCGTCGGCTTCGTTAGCGCCTCCTTTTGGGATTGCAGATTGACAAAACTGATATCGGCCTTGTACACGGGCTGCACCACCGGTTCGTTTTTGTCCAACTTCAGCCGTAGCTTCAACGAGAACGAGTCGACTTTCTCGCCCGTGGGTGACTTTGGCGCGTCGCCGGCGGGCGGGCTTGGTTTCGCGACGTGTGGTCTCGGCAAGGCAACTTTGGCAGACTTTCCATCGCGCACTATCTTGTCCTTCAACGTGGCCGGTTTCTCCTTGGCACCCCCTGTTCGCGGCTTGCCCCCCTTTTGCGCCAGCAGTTTGTCGTCTCTATCCTTCTTAACGATTTTATTCTTCAACTTAGAATCATCGTCCTTTTTACTGTCGTCTTCGGTTATCTTGGCTATTCCAAAAACTTCAGGAGCATCCGTTGAGTTCTCTTTCAGTTTGCATTGGGCAACAGTTATTTCTTCGGCTTTCTTCTCCTGTTCTTTAGGCGGTGGAATATCGTCGTCCCTCATTAGGGTTTTGATCAGGTACTGCTTGCTTTGTTCTTCGATCTCCTGGGCGGTTGCTTGGGAACCGACGGTCGCTGTAGCTACGGACGTGGTCGCTCTTACAGGCAATCTCATCGGAGGGGGCATTGACGATTGACTAACGTTTGCTCTATCAGAATTTAGGCTATTGGGAGATGAAGAGAACGTCGCGTTTGGGGGCGACTTGAACGGTGGATTCTGGGCGTTAACCATTGCATGGTTTGGGGACGAATTCTGGTGCGTATTTACAAACTTCGATGTCGACTGCTGGGGAACAGGCGGAGGTGGCATAAAACTCGACTCATTCACACTCTCAAAATTATCCGAAGGTTTTGAAGGCACATCGCTCGCTGATTGACTTGTACTTGGGATCAGCTCTGAGTTGTATGGTCCGTTTAGGCTCGTACTCGTGTACTGACCACCGGTGATTTCCTGCAGGAGGGCATCAGGATTCGAATCGCTCGAGTTGGGGAGCCCGTCCTGTTGCTGGGGGTCGTAGAGCAGATCCAGCTTGGTGTTGGAGTCCAGGTCAGAGATAGCCGAGAGGGCGGAGTCGTCCAGGTTTAGGTCGGCTCCTAAGGACGGTAGTAACTGATCCAGGTCGCAGTTGTCGGGCAAGTCCGGTATGGAAAGCCCTAAGGTGTCCCGATAGGGCTCGTTCCAATCCGGTTGGGAGGCCGCCCGCGAAGCCGCCCGTTGCCGCGCATTGTACTGCTGCTGATACCTCTGAAATTCCTGAAGCAAAAACCATATCCATTGAAAACATGTTTGATCGAATTGTCATACTAGATGAAGAAATTTTTTCCTAATCCTACATCAAAGAATTTATTAATTAAATAAAGAATTTAATAATTTGCTAAATGACTTTAGTCAATAGCCTTTGTGAAAAGAACTGAATCACATTATGTTAAAAGAAGACATCATTAAATGGAATCAAGAAGCAAAAATAATGTCTTTATTTCCTTACCACTCAAGTATCAAAAACTTAAATATCAACCAATGCTTATAAACTAAGATTGAGAGATTCAACAGTTTATAATTTAAAAAAAAAATTTTATGGTCTGCTACCACTGAGCAAATGCTAAGACTCCATTTTTACAAATAATACTGGTGCACAAAGCCCATTAAATATTTACTCAAGACCAAAACGGCAAATTTAGTGGAAACAACTGCAATTAAATCTAAATAAAAACTACAAAATCAATCTCGACAAAAATACCTGGAAGCTCGACTGCGTCTTCTGATCCATAGAGGTGGTGGGTGGCGGGAGCAACGCCTGCAGATCCTCGGGGGTGACCCGCGGCGGAGGGGGAGGCGGCGGGGGCGGTGGTCTCGGCCTCTGCACCACCGCCACCGATTGCACGCCCTGCTGCCGGTAGGGCGGGGGGGGCGCGGGGAACGTCGTGTCCTGAGCGTAATTCGGCGCGGGGAACCGCGCCCGCCCCACGACGGTCGCGTTCGGCGCCGGACTGCGGTACACGGGGGAGGGGTGGTGCGGGGGCCGCGGGGGGAAGGCGCGCCGCACGAAGGGCGCGCCGCGGACGGGGGCGCGCGGCGGCGGGGGCGGGGGCGGCGCGGGGCTGGGGAGCGACGGCGTCTGCGGCGGGGCGGGCGGCGCGGGCGGACCCTGCTGCCGCGGCACGGACGCCCGCCCGCCGCGGTACTCGAACGGCGCCCGGCCCACCGCCATTTCCACCTGCGTGAAGTTAAAGTTTTAGCTTAGTGGTGATTATTTATTTATTTATATATTTATTTACAAGATACGAAAAATGTAAATATTGTACATGAGATAAGCTTAACTCTATGTTTAGGTTTGATTGATGTTGGAAAATATCCAAACTCGCATGTATTATCGATTTATATTATTTCTCAAAGGTGTTTCTTTGTCAGTGTGTGTTAAATACAAAAATTGTCTCGTTTACTGCTGCACCTGATCTTTTTATGGTCCAGTTTAAAGTAATACAACAATAAACTATTTTTCAAAATTACAGCATTTACGACGTACAAGAACCGGCATTTATTACCTTATGAGTCACTAATGTTGTCAGGAACATACCAAATATATTTTTTGTTTTAATATTTTAAAAACATCCCAGACGACATAGAATATAGAAGTATTAATCACCTGGGAGTCCTCGAGTCGATCAAGCTTAGCTGGGTGAGGTGAGGACTTCGCTCTAGGCTGGGGTGCGGGCGCATCGTTCTGCAGCAGATTGACGAGCAGCGGCGACGACATCGCCACGGTGGGGGCGGAAGCGGACGCTGAAGCGGTGGCGGGGGCGGGCGATTGATTGGACGGGGTGGGCGAGGGCGCGGGGTAGGGGGGAGGCGGGCCCGCGAAGGCCGACGTTGATGGACGTGGAAACTGTTCCCCGCTCGACCCCGCTAACGCTGCCACCGGCCGTACCCCTGGACCGCTTAAACCTGCGCATAAAAAAATGTAATGAGCACCGAAACGGCATCCTTAAAATGCTTGTGTCGTATAAAGTGTTAAATATACCTTTGTTTAGGTAAAAAGTAGAGTAACAGCCTATAAATATCCCACTGCTGGGAAAGGGCCTCCTCTGTACAGAGGGAATCAGGGCATAGACCTTTTCTAGTCCTCCATGCAACCCCAATGCGGGTCGGGAGGACTAGACAACACTTTATTAACTAATAAATTAACAATTTCATTGGATTGAACGTAGGTTGCTTGATTATATGTGATTATTATCCATACTAATATTTTAAATGCGAAAGTAACTCTGTCTGTCTGTCTCGCTTTCACTCCAAAACTACTGAACCGATTTAAATGAAATTTGGTTCACAGTCTAGAACCTGAGAAAAGGAATTTTTTAATTGTAAAAAAGTTTTGAAAGATATTTATTTAAGAGCTTCAACGCGAGCGAAGCCGCGGGCGAAAAGCTAGTAATAAATAATCGCATACCTTGACTATAAGTATGATCACATTGCTTACCAGAGAGCATTTACGAAAAGGAAGGACATACTATTTTCCGAAGAACAAAATGACCGCTCACCTAACGTGTTCTCCTTCCGATGGATGACCCTCGCCTGGGTCATGCTCCCAAACGGGAACTCGCAGCGGTCGGTGGTCGGCGTGGGAATGTTCTGCGGTATCTTTCCGTCCATCGGGCAGACGGTGTTGGGCGATTTGAAGTTATCCCTGGGTACTGTGGCCGACGAGGCGGGCGCGTCCGTCGAAGTGGACGTACCCTCCCCCTCGCCCAAAAGTCGCCCAATGCCCCCCAGACCGGCAAGCAGCTCGGAATTCGTCTGCCTCGACGAGTTGCCATCTGCAATCATGGGAGAATAGGTTCAAGTCACTAATTGCAATCATAAATATGATACTGAAGACAATGGGTCGTGTGTTAAATGATGTAATCCTACTAATTAATGATTAATTACACCAATTAATAATTAATGTTTGAATAATGCCGTAATGTCCACACATTGTCAGTGGTGTGGACGCACAACACATTATATAACGTCGTTCCCGCCAGTGTACCGTAAATATTCCGATTTTAAGTTGTTTGGTAATTTTAGGATAAAGCACGACTCATTACCGACCTTTTAATGTCGAATGTCTAGAGAATATTAGTTTCTCAGTCATGCTGGTTTTTATTAATCACCAAACGCCATACTCGCTGACCTTTCATCAACTCCTAACTCTCAATACGTCAACTGTCTCACTGTTCTCGACTTCCTTCATCAGCCCGTAGGCTCATCGCTATGCCCGGAACTCGTTAAGCTGTGCGAGTCGAGACATTGGCTAGCAAACCTTTCACCGACTCCTAGCCCTCAACTTTTTCAGCCATGCCACTGCTTTTTTTTCTTTATGCGAAAAAGTGGCAAACGAGCTGGCGGTTCACCTGATTAAGTGCTAATCGCCGCCCACGGACGTTTGCAACACAGGTTGCAGATGTGTCGCCACCTTTTAATAAGGTTGGCCCCGGCTACCCCATTCACCAGACGGGACCGCATAAGTGTAACATACTTCTACCGTCCCGGACTTAGTTCTCCATCAGGAACCAACCAACCAACCACTGAGCACTCACCGTCCGCCGCGTCGGTGTTTATCCTCAGCTCGGCGCCGTGCTGCAAACGCAGCGACACCGCCGCGTCGCCGTCCAGCTGCACGGAGAGTATGCCGAGAGCGCGCAGCTGCGGCGCGCCGGCGGCGGCGAGCGCCCTGAGCCGCGCCGCCGCCGCCCTCGGCACCGACAGCGTCACGCGCACCGAGTTCCAGGGCTCCACCTGGAAGGCGATGACGTCATCCATTAGCAGAGATCCTTCATCACCTCACAATCACGAGACGACATCCATTAGCCGAGATAGGAGTAGTCAAGTGATTCGTCATCTCACAATCACTACATCACGATAAATATCCAAAAAAAATTATGAATCCGCGGCGCAGTTGATGAGGTATTTATTGGCTTCGGCGCCGGGGGTCGTAGGTACGATTTCAACGCGAGACAACTACTTGTGTTACTCACAGGTGATCGTTTCGTGTCTGGGTATTTATGCACGTGAATTTTATGTATGCAAAACGTCCTTACAACACAGGATAGTGTGGTCCTACGGTAAGGGGCAATGTTTTCGAACGGAAGACTAAAATAGATCTTGTAGAACGCAGTGTTCACTGGAACTTACTAAGCAAGCCCTTCCACACAAATCATTAATTCATTCATCGCAAAAATAATAACTTTCGTATTAAATTTCTTTAGTCGGAACTAGTCTCGCCTAAATCATTGTCAACACGAAGCAATCAGACTTACTCGATCGGCCTAAATATTCTGAGTGTTGCTGAATAAATAAAATGATCAAATCAAATCTGCTGGCAGGCTGGTCAGAGAAGTATCCGACCTCTAAGAAGACCGGCGTGAAGATTGTTACATTCGCGTTTTGTCTTAAGAGTAAGATAAATAACTTTTTTTAATGGTTGGCAAAGGTTCTGCAACCACTAAGGTGTTGAACATGCCGATGGGAGACGGTAATCACTTAGCATGAGGTGAACCGTCTGCTCACTTGCGAACTTTACATATTAAAAATAGACAGTCCTGTCACTGACAAAGGAATAATTCATTCTGCATTTACATACGACTTTCATTTGACCGTTTCGAAGTGGGAATGAGAAAAAATATCAGTAGGACTCAAATATGGACTTAAATATGCTGGGCTGCTAAATTTATCTCTGAGGAGTTTTTAAGCAGTGATCTTCGTGCGGATAGATAAACAACTGCTTTTTTTAGCAAAATTTTCTCACCGACGAAGACAAAGAAAATTTTTGACGAGGCCCTTGACCTTTGGCTCTGTGCATTACAGCACAGGAGAAAGGTGTGTGTTGTGGTGTTAGTGTTAGGTGTTTTACAATACAATTTCAGAGCTATACTGGAGACAGTGAGACGCCCTTTCATGCCACAGACAAAAATTAATTAGACGCGGCCCCTTTTATTATTAACCGGTTATTATCTGCATCAAAAACTGTGGTCACCGTTAGCAGCAGCAAATTGCAGCCGTGACTGTATCCAAACTCTGAATCGCCAGCGAATCGCTATAACGTCAAATCTAATGACATTTAGTGACGTTCTCAAAATTCAAATTAAACTAGGTATTATCGAGTTTTTAAACTGTATTAATTAATCTAATCTAGTCAAATGGTCGAAGGCAGCTGGGTTCGGCTGATGACATTGCGATTCACCGCTAGTTAACTTAGAACTTGGTGCTTCTTTTAACGTTTTTTTTTTCGTGAAAAGTTGTCAAGCTAGCAGGTGGTGGTTCTGATGTTAAGTGGACATCTACAACATCCAATGGCTTGCCATGCGTCAACAACCTTCAAAAAATGTTGTGGGCTCCGGTCACCTCACTAATCAGACGGAACGCGAAAGTTTAATACTTCCACTTCACGCTGGTCTTCTGTGAGGCCGTGGCACTACCGCGGGGGAGCATGCCCATTCGTGCAACAGCTTAAGTTGTTCCATGGCCCTACCGTAAACATTTAAATGACTTTACGTAGAGTTTAAATCGCATTGGACTAAACATTAATTCTGTATTGACACTTTCATGAATACAATAATATATATTAGGAGTATAAGTAAAGTAACAGCCTGTAAATGTCGCACTGCTGGGCAAAGGCCTCCTCTGTACCAGGGCATAGTCCACCACGCGGCCCAACTGCGGATTGGCGAACTTCACATATTTTCGAAATATTTTTTTTTTGTTATTATTTCTAAAAATATGCAGGTTTCCTCACGATGTTTTATTCACTGCCGAGGACGTGATATTTCAGCACTTAAAATTAACAATTTCATTGGTGCTGGCACCGAAGATCGAACTCAGGTTGTTCGAGTAAATTGAATTAAAGGCGAGCGCCCGGACACTGAGCTAACACGGCCCGGATTGGGAGTATGCTTAAAAGAATTTTATTCATTCTCTCTGAAACGCTTCGGTGTATGGGAAATGATGGATTCAAAGGGTGTTTCAAGGTCATCCATAAAAAGTCGCGCTAGAATAGCGCATTAAGTATGGCAGCGTTGAAAATCACCAAACATTATTAACATCAACTGCACCAACAATAATTATCATTATCCTACGATAGCAAAAAAACCAGTTTGACACCCGGTTTTTGGCAACGATAACGACGCTGGACTCATCGAATGGACGGAAATAAAAAAACAAAAGAGTTCCACATCCAACGGTAATGAATTGTAAGAAATAAAATTTTGGTGAAAATGTTAGTCTGAAATTGATTTATATAAATAATAACATTGCTACTATTTTCATATGATAATTTTATGCCATTTGTCATCACTACAGAAAAAAAAAAGGATCAAAATTGGGACAAAAAGTAAATCAATTGTGAAATTTCTAAACGAGCTGTATTATAACGGCGATTTAAATTTAAAAAAAACAAAATATAAATCCCAAAGGCCAAAACACAACAAGACCACTAGATGGCGCCCCAGTCAAACTAGCGTCAGAAAGAAAAGAGTGCTGGATCCGTAGACAGTGACGCAATTAGTGCCCTCCGTTTAGCTAGACAGTCCATGAATGGATTTAAAACGAGCAAAGCGGTTTACCTGATATAAGTGACACGAAACACCTCTGGGGTTGGGCAGATTTTCAAGACGGCGGGCTACCGACCACCGCACCGTACGCAACGGTATTAACTTAAAAACACATTCAATCTAATATATCTAAAGCAGGCCTTATGAGGCCCTGGTACTTCAACATTCAAGCAAGCGCTATTAGAAGGAACCGTACTGACACAGTGATATACTTCTGGAGCAGAAGTTTACGCATCCCTAAGCCGTAGGAAGGCACATGACCGTAGTGTCGCACTGGGCACATGACACACCTTAGTAAAAACTCTTTTGTACTTATTTATCGCGTTTGTTTTCAATTTGAACTACAGACGTTCCAGACCCTCTGTAGTGTTCAAGACCCCGGGGACAGACCGAAGCGTTGAACATTTTGAACGAGACGGTTTTCTTCATTTTACTGCGGTAGGGTCACGCATCAGCCTCTGCTGTTGCACGGATGGGCAAGCTCATCCGGAGAAATACCACGACCCTCACAGAAGCCCGGCGTGAAGTGGAAGTGCTATACTTCTGCGTTTTGTCCGTTGAGTGAGGTAGCCGGAGCCCAGTACCATTAAAAAGGTGGCAATGCATCTGCAACCCTACGCGTGTTGCAAATGTCTATGGGCGGCGGTTATCACATTAAAATCTGGTTCTGTTTGCCACCTTCTCAAATACGCATCCACTCAAAGGCAAATATGTACGCATCTACAACCTCATTCTACAGCATGTCTGCCGCACAACTGGCAGGCAAACTACCCACATTGAAAAGATATAAAAAAAAAAAAATCGGCCCCCCCCACCTTGTTGACTTTGAGCGTGTGCGGATGCGGCTCGGCGAGCAGAGCGCGCAGCTCGCGCAGCAGCCGGCGAAGGCGCGCGGGGAAGCGCGGGTCGCGCAGGTCGCCCTCGCAGGTCACCACCACGCCGCACGAGCCGCCGCCCCCCCCGCCCGCCGAGCCCGGCCCATCGCTGTCCGCTGCCATGCTGCGCACAGGGGACGCTACGTATGAGTACAGGGGATACGTTCACAATATGAGTAACCTATTTTAAAAGTTATATAAATTTTTCGCTAAACGTAAAATAAGGATTTGTGCACTAACGAACGAACACGGTAGTTAGAGGAGTGTGAGAGACCGAAGTATATGTTATATAGCTTTCTAAAAATGGCCCTTGTTTTAATAAGAGTCGAGAAAGGTAGGTGTTTTAGGTATTTTCCTGACAAAGCCAAAATCATGATTGTCTTAATTAGGTCTCTGTAATTTATAATTAATAAAATTAAAAAAAAAAAGAATCATTAATATGGGACACCATTGGAACTGTAAGAAATCCAATGCAAACAGAATTTCGGAAATCGGTTCTTAAATGAAATAAAAGAAGATGATAATATATAATGCTCAGGAACCATGACGGCACAGCATTCATGCACTTGCTTTTAAATAAGTACTTTCGCACTTAACTCTTCAAAATTTTGTGATCATAGATAGTGTATAAAGCTATTTGTGAACATTTAGTAGCTCAGTTGCATATTAACTTTCATAAGTACTCCTACACTATTTCAAGCAGCATTAAATTCAATAATCGGTCATCCATTAAATACAGACACAAAAACTTAAAATTAATTAATAAATAAATAATTAGAATATACCACATATTATATTTGCAAAACATTGATAAATATCAATGCTAGAAACATTGAAAAGTACAATGAAATTGTTAATTACAAGTGCTGACTTATCACATGTTCAGCGGTGAAAGAAAACATTGAAGAAATCTGAATATTTTCTAATAATAACCAAAAAAAATATTTTCAAGATATGTGATATCTTTCAACAGTGGGTTTGTGGTAGACCATACCCCATTACCCTCTAGTATAGAGGTGACCTTTGCCTATACAGCGTTTCGTTACCACCGCAACAATAAATGAACACATATATAGAGGATAACTTTTTAAAATTGTATTAAACATTTATATTCTTCAAACATCAATATTTACCGAGTTATAAAATTTTCCAAAACAAACAATTTTAGAAAACCCTTACGTATAAAACTGTAACGTAAAGTTCATTTGTAAAGGTCACAAAGCATATGAATGGGTTGAATGAATTTAAAAGGGACAAAACATACAGTTAGAAGGAGAGGCTTGTGATGCGACGCTGTGGCGCAAGTTGTATAGGATGTTATAAATTTTGTTTCTTTTTTACTTAATTACTTTGTTTGAAAAATATTTTTTTTTAATTATGGATTTTGATTAACCTTAATATTTTTTTATAATTATTGGCAAGTAGCGTTAGACGAGTGTTCATTTATTGTCGCGATGGTAATGACACGCTGTATATAAAAATTTATAAATATAATTAAACTTGACTATGCTATACATTCTTCTTTAAATGTAACTAATTACTTTAGCCTTCCATACCAAGTCTAGCTTATTTAAATAATATGAATATCCATCAAAAATATATCCAAACAAAACTAGAAACAGATTACCACAGTGTAAACAATGTGAAATACTACTTGACTTGTAAATGTTTTAAACCGCTAAAAGGCAAACTACTATTTTCATATCAACCCTAAATAATGCAAAATTTACTAAAGTTAAACTTAATTCTTTTATTTAACACTCCTATATTATGAAATTATGAACAAATAAACAAATTTCTAATAAGAAGCCAAAACATGAACCAAAATTTGTTTTTTTCATGAAACACAAAAAGTAATTGTAATTTATTAAAGTGAATTTAAATTAATGTGAAAATATAATACTGGTGTGGAAACCTCTAACATTCTCCCGCTTAAACATTATTCCATTAAGTAAACCTTCTTATCTATTACACAATAACAGTTAACTAATTTTTATGGGAAAATTTTGTTCATTATCAAATAACCAACATAAAATTTCAATTTTACATAACATTATGATTTAGAAAACCTTTGCTAAATTTAAAATGTTATGTGTTACATAATATTATTATGTTACATTTCAAACTGTCATAACAACACTGGCAGATGTTAGAATAAATAAAGGATTATGACTGTATATATATATATATATATATATATAAGTAAATAAACTTCAATCAAAGTATGCATAACAATTTCAGTCCACCCAATTAAATGCTTGTCCTATGGGGGAAAAGAGTGAATATATTGTGCAGTGATAAAAGTAAATATTTTATAAACATTACGTGAACAATTACAGTTAAACATGTCTTTATTAATTACTTAAAAAAGTTAATATGGTTCCCTTTTAAAATCTCTTTCACTTTTAATGCTTATAATAATGCTTGTCCGCTGTGGTACAGTTGCGATGAATACACTTGTTAAATGATTGAATGATAAAAAATGAACCCAATAAAAATCAACCCAAAAGTATAAAAAGCTGTCATGAAAAATGTTGACAATTTCATTTTACATATTCTTACTTAGTAAGTATGGATTACATTCATACTCTTACTAAGTAAAATAAGCAATGTAAGACGATATTTTCATTGCCACAAATGTATAAAATTATAAATTACCCCTAATCACAAGTTCTATAGAATTTTAAAATATATTATTTAATTAGAATCCATTAGTTTATTACTTCACTGACACGGCGCCAAGTCAATGCTCTTTAATGGTCATTGCCAAGGGCCATTGGATACATCTATTAACATATTCAGCATACATGGGCATAGTTTGTTTTGAATAATAAAGCGATTTCATGTTTACCTCAGATTAGTAAGGGAAAACAACTGTTGATCAGCTGTTATGAATATATAAAAGAATTTTCAAAATTTTGGTTTATTGATAGTCAATTGGATGCTTTAAGTAATTGTGCATAACAAACATGTATATAATATGTGACAACTCACAAGATTTATAGTAAATAACTATCATGTTTGGTATGATTAATTTTTTTTTTTTATGAAAGTAAAAAAAGTAAAGTAATACTTTATTTTTATTAAAAAGGAAAACTATTTACTATTTTTCCTTTGACACTGTTTAAGGCTTTTTTTTTTCTAAGTACTTGCACTTCCTACACCTTAAAACAACCAAGTTTTGAATATTTGCAAAAATTAGTGCAAAGTAATTTGTTTAGTAGTACTATCACTTTTTATAATCTTTTAAAATTAAAGACAAATATTCTAATAGGACTTAACAGTTCTCTACAAATCTAAAGAAAACTGTAACAGTTTTTCAGTACATTTCCAAATGACAGAAGTAAACATGTCTATAAAGACAAAAAAAAAATGATAATGTAATCCATTTGCTATAACATAAAATAAAAAAAAACCCTCATACTAGGATGACTTAAAGAAAAAGATATAAAAATAGGTTATCATCAAACTGATAATGAATAAGTGATGTACTAGACAAATTGTAAGACCATAAGGTTTAAATAGTTTTTTTTTTTAAAACATTATTACTTTAAATTTCATACTCATTAAACTAATAGTATTAGTTAATATTTAAATTTCACTTCTATCGTTATATTTATCAAATAGTTTAATGTTTAGACAAATGCATAATGAAATGACTAACATTATTATTATTGTTTATTATATCATGGAAACAACTTAGAATTATAAAAAATATGAGTTTAAATCTTTTTAATTATCACTAGATTAATTTGTAATATAATGTAAAATAAAATAAACCCCTTCTCAATTATGATTATTTCGTTGAATAATGTAAGAACCCTACATTTATGTGCTATAGTTGCAAAATTGATTGATTCTTGCTATAAAATTAAGCATGCAAATGTATGTGATAATAATTGTGGTAACCTTTGAAATTTCACATTTTTTTTTTTTTAATTTGACAGATGCTTGATGTACAAATAATAGCAATAAATTACACGCAATATCGTTTACCGCTAAACAATCTTAATTTTTTTAATTAATATAATTGAGATGAGTCATGTCTCAAGTTTATGATATATTTCCAAATTAAAAAGTTTTCCTAACCTCATTCGATTTAAACGAAAGTTTTAAACTACGTGACATCGGTACTATTGATAAATACGAAGCTCAAAACTTGCCGCAAATTTAAGAAAAAAAAAAAAACATTCCGGCTGCGTAGTGTTTGTTGTATTTAGGTACTCGGTATATTTCCTAGATCATCGACAAGGTCGCCGTTTCAAAAACTTTGCCGCATGTTACACAACTAATGACATTATATCAGTAATAGGAATGTTTCCCGAAAGTTATTCTGGCTGACTGGGGTTTTTTATTGTCTTATAACCTCGCAGCTTAAGCCGCGAACAACCTATGGATCTCCTGTCAACCAGTGTGTCCATTTTGTGAGGACATCGATGTTTGACACCCCTCGAAATGTAAATAAACTAAAAAAAAGCAACTCACCTATCATACAATGTCACATTCCGCTCAATACCACACAATTTCTATTTTCTTGTGTCCCAAATCATCCTGGAAAATCAAGCTCAACATTACTATCCGCCGGACGCAAGGCAATATCGGTCCTATGGGCACTGTCCAGTTCACTACTTCAGCAACATATGATATTAGCCACTATTGTTCCGCCCCAGGTACGACCGGGGCACTGTCCACCACTTATATTCGGTTTTTCACATATAATCACGAGCGCAGATATTCGCGATTTTTAACACGAATTAAAACCACAAATTTATGTTCCAGTGACGCAAAGCTCATATATCGTGAAGAGCAGCAGCCATTTTGAAATGTACGGGGAGTGCAATCACGGCATGGAACATTCGTAATTTAAAGACTTTTTCGTCACTCGTTGATATTAAATGCTCGCGCAATATACAATTTAGTTTAGGCAGTTTCCATTTTCACTCTTTAGATCACAGAACTTCACTCCATTTTCTTATTGAAACTATCCAAAACAACCTAAGCGACATCCGATAATTCCAGCTTACCCCATTTGCATGACACACATAGAATTAAAAAAAAACACTCAAAACACATAAAAACGTACATAAAACGCGTCGCGCCGAATCATAAGAAGTTAAAGCATCGTATCAATATGACAGTTCAGTAGAAAAATCGCTAAAAAGATTGGTATATATTTTACAAATAGTTATTCGGTACGAACAATAACAACGGGCGCCATTTGCAATTTTCAACTTGACATGCGCATTGACTCGAAGTAGACAAACATACGTGACGTAGCTTCTGAATGAAGTATTTTAATACGAAAACAAAATTTGAGCATGTTGCAAATAACATACAAATTTTTGTTTCAACAATTCGAAACCAAAAAAAAACACTAAAAACATTTTTATCTGACAGTACTAACATTTAAATTTTATAAATTTTTGTAATAAATTTAGTTAGTACGCCCGTACAAAGTCACATAATCGGATTTTCATGCTCCATTGAAGACTTCTTATGATTGGTGAATATTATAATCTCCATGTTCTGGTAAAGATGAAAGTCTTTTTGATTGGCTGCCGCCAGGAAACGTGAGGACACGATTCACTTCCTGTTTTCATGGCGAGGTGTAAATAAACGATGTTATTTAAGTTTGTCATTACAATGGTAAAATTTAATAAAAATTACATTTCTTTCCAATCTACATTTTATTTATAATACCAGAACCCGAATACAATTTGCCAAATTTTTTAGCCATTTCTAAGTTCTTTCAAAATTACATTGACCCTTTCGGTACGGATTGAAACAATCCTTTTTTAGCCATTTCATCCGCCCAATCTTGAAATTCTCCATTCCTAGAAGAAAATATTTTTAATATATCATTTAAGTCTTGACTTCAATTTTTTATATTTTTTATTTATTTTAAAGTAAACTTAGTAAAAAAACAATGCCAAACTAAGTGCGGTGGCGTTGTGTCAGTCATTGATGATTGAGCCGTTTGGGGATCTATCGCTACGTCCTAGTCGGAAACTCTTGGCAAAGTGACATTTGTATAGGCCAAGATTAATAGAATAAAATTATATATCTAAATTGACCCCATTTTTACATTCCCTAGATAATATTTTTCGTTAAAATATTAGTATTCACAACAGTTCGTATTTTTTTATGAGAAGGTGGCAGACCACCGTCCATGGACATTTATAGCACCCGTAGGGCTGTAGATGCCTTGCCACCTTTAAATAAAGTGGTTTCCAGATATTCACTCACTAGGCGAAACGCAAAATTATAATATTACCACTTCACACCGCTCTTCTATTAGGTTGTGGTACTTCCGAATGGACCTGTGCAACAGCTACAACTGTATCGTGGCCCTACCACAGTTGAAGTGTCAATTACCTACTTAGTAGCTACAGTGTTAATGTGCAGTTTAAATAAATGTGTGCTTTATCTTGCCTAACGCCAAAAATTTTTTGAGCTTGCGTTGAAACGGAAACGGTTGGCCGAATAAATTAACGGAACGGAGTTATTTATTATTGATTTTCCATCTCTCGTCTACGGGGTTCGTCGAGTTAAGGTAAAGCGGTCGAAGTCATCATGTCGTGTGCACCGTCTTCATTCTTGTCTCTGGACCGTGGGTAGCGGATTATACAGTGGCATTGTATATTCGTACAGCAGCAGCTACATTATTAATCCTCAAGCCGAGGAGAAATAATGTAGCTGCCTGTCTGCGGACCTCTTTCGACGATGCAATTAAAACCGCGGGGCTAACCGCAAGCTTTACTTAAAAAATGTTACAAATAAAACAAACCCGACTTATTATCATATTCAAATACTCTTAAAACATTAATACATACAGAATGGCAAATTATTTCTTTAAAACTCTCACAACATTTAACTGGTGGTTGACAGTTATCTGTAGTTAAAAATGTATTTGTTATATCTGTATCTAAGGTTGAATTAAAAATTGAAGTGAAAGTAATTGACAACAAAAAGCTTAAGAAAGTGATTTAAAACATAGAAAAGACTTGTGTTTTCTATAGTTATAAAGGAAAGGTAATTGAATGATAAATATTTACTTTGTAGAATATATAAAAAAAATATATTTTATGTAATAATTGTTTAATTTATGGTCGGTAAGATGTAATCATTATAAAAAATAAAATTTTTATGCCATTTATAAGGAATCATTCGAAATAAATGTATTGCACTATTGTCACATACCTTTTCTATGTGTACAGTATTTCTCATTTTTTTATAATATTCACAGCAGCGATTTAGCTAGAAATAATTATTTTACTGTCCTAAAATTATGAACTATGAGTAGAAATAATATCATTTAGCAGCATCAATGAATTATTTAATGACTGTGCGAGATCTGTGAATCAATGAATTATTTAATGACTGTGCATGACTGTGCAAGAAAGTTTAAAAACTTTCACACAGGCTAAATTATTTATCCTTCCCCTCTGTATCTATCAAAAGGTCTGATTTTGTTAGCTAGGAATATTTTTTGTGACAAATGCTTTAATGTGATTCAATTTTGCACACTTTCACGGTGTACAACTTTGTCTTAATATAAAAAAAGTAAAGTAACAGCCTATACATATCCCACTGCTGGGCGAAGGCCTATTTTGCAGAGGGTCTTAATAGAACATACAATAAAAATGTTTTTATGTGAAGCTGGAAAGCAAACTTGCGGTCTGATGTTAAGTAATAATCGCCGCACATGGATGTTTGTAACATCTGTAGGGTTGCAGATGCATTGCAACATTTTAACAAACTGATATATACTACACTTCCACTTCACAATGGTCTTCTGTGAGGTTATGTTTCTTACCTGGACGGAACCTGCCCATTCATGCAAACAAAAGATGCTGTTATGAGGCTCTACCACAATATATCAAATGGGGTAGGCAAATGGGCTTCAAGGAGTGTGTGAAATGTTCATAATAAAAGTACAGATTTGCTATAAGTAATTTAAGTAAAGTAAATATATAAATATAAAGTACCATTACTACTGCTCTGGACGCTCGCCTTTGATTAAATTTATTCAAACAACCTGAGTTTGATCGCCGGCTAGCACCAATGAAATTGTTAATTTTAAGTGCTGACTTATCACATGTTCCGCGGTGAAGAACAACATCTTGAGGAAACCTGCATATTACAAAATGATAAAAAAAAAATATTTTCGAACATATGTGAAGTCCACTAATCCGCAGTGGGGTAGCTTAGTAGACTACACCCTGATACCCTTTACAGAGGAGGCCTGTGCCCAGCAGTGGGACATTTATAACCTGTTACTTTATTATTATTGTTCTTCACAATGGTACTTAAATCATCTGTCATAGATGATAAGGTCATTATTAATATAATGATGTCTGTTTATTTATATTAATACTTGAAAAATTTGCCTTATTATTTTTCATTTAGTCTAATAAGAATTAGAAAAGTTACTAACGCATAGTACTCTAAATATTTCCGTCTTCTTGGTAAACCAACAAAAACATAAACTGATGCACCGCCTAAGATTGATAGTACTATAGCTTGGGCCAAAACCCGTTTTGTGTGCGCCCAGTGCAATCCCCGCATGACTGGCTTCACCAGACAAGGTGGCTTAGGCGGAGGTTCTGGGCAAACAGGTGGAGGGCAAGGGTCAAGTTTCGGTTCTGGACACGAAGACATTTTCCTGCACAAATTATTTTCAAATGTTAATAAACATGCCTAATAATTCCTCTTTACAAGTAATATTTGAGGCTTTATAAATAGGCCATAGATTTAATAAGAATTCTTGGCTTTTACATAAAAGTTGACATAAATTAGCAAAGTTTAAGTATTCTCTACTACCAGGGGTGGTCAAAAAGTTTACTGAATGAAATTAAATCTCAAATTATTTTACCTTTTCAATACATTCTCGCTTAACATTAATACATCTCTCAGATCTATGAAATAATTTGTTTAAACCATTGAAAAAAAATGATGACTGGTGTCAAATCACGCCGAAATTTCTGACTTGACTTCTTTATCGTCATTTAATTTTTGTCCCAGGAGCTCTTTCTTCAACTTTGAAAATAAGTAATAATCACTAGAGGCTAGGTCTGGACTGTAGGGTAGGTGATGCAGTTGTTCAAAGCAGCATCGGTGAATAACAGCAGTCGCAACTCGACTTGTGTGCACGGGTGCGTTGTCGTGCAAAAGGATCACGCCTTTTCTCAATTTTCCTCTTCTTTTTTCCTTGATAGACTACTTTAGGCGTTGTAATAAGGAAGTGTATGTTGTATTGACCCTTTATAGTGACACTTCGTTCTCTGTAATGAACTATTGACACGCCTCGGCTTCGCAGGGGTGCAATGTGTTATACATATAAACCTTCCTCGTGAATCACTCTATCTAGTAAAAAAACCCGCATCGAGATCCGTTGTGTAGTTTTAAAATACTAAGCATACATGGGGACAGACACACAGCAGATACCTTTTTGAATCGATCGTCGCCATGATTTTTCCAGCCGATTACGACACCTGTGTTTTTTGGGAGGGAATATGTCTTTTTTATGCTACTGCATCGACTCCTGCTTTGACTCAGGTTCATAGTGATGAACCCAAGTTTCATCTCCAGTAACGGTCCGGGCCAAAACTTCTTCTTTATTCCCCCACAGAATTACAAAAACTAGGGAGAGCACTCAACGCGCTCGTGTTTTTGTAGCGGCGTAAGCATTCTCGGTACCCGTCTGCACTGGCCTTAGTCATACCAAGATGGTCATGTAGAATGTTTAAAATTATCGTTTCAGATGCTTCAACCATTGCTACTTCTGCGGCAATCGGGCGTCTTCCAATACTACGATTTCTAGAGTGGTTGCCTCACCATCGCTCCGGACGGCCAATTGGTCGTCCGAAGCGATGGTCATGCGATGGCCGAGCCATGGTCATCTTCAATGGAGTCCATATTTTGCTTGAAAAGGCCATGCCACTTGTTAATCCTGGTTTTACTAGGGGCTGAGTCCACGTAAACTGCTAACATCTCTTGGAAAATGGTTTGAGGTTATTTTCCTTGCTTGTTAAGGAACTTAAGGACGGCGCGATATTAAATTTTCTCCATAGTGGTCGATAACTCAAAGGTTATGACCCGATTAGGTTAAAATTTGTTATTTATACCCTTAATTAGTAGATCTACTAGTGACTACCTGGATTAAATAATCTACCCCCACCAACCCCTTTATTCTGCGAACTTTTTAACCGCCCCTCGTAACATGCATCACACTTATGACCTACCACATCTCCAAGGCCCACATTAGCAGCCGGATAATTCCTCATCTGCCCTTTCTCACTCTGAATTTAAGCATTTTATAATACAATAAAGAATAGATAAATTATCATTCAAGAGATAAATTAAATTAACACTATCTCAATTTTGCATTTCATAAAAATGTTATAGATACACAAATGAGAGATGGCACAAAGCTCACACGGGGGGAGCCACCGGCGCAATCGCGACCACGAGCCATCGATGCGGTACACCAACACGGACTGGGAGGCGAAGGAGGCGCTCTATCAGCGGGAGCTGGACGAAGCGCGCGCCAGGGCCTCGCAGATGGAGAAGACGATGCGGTGGTGGTCGGACTGCACCGCCAACTGGCGAGAGAAGTGGTCTAAAGTTCGCAACGAGCGCAATAAGGCGCGGGAGGAAGCCAAGCAGCTAAAGAACAAGGTCGACATACTCACAAAGGAACTGACGACAGCAAGAATGGAACGAAACGAAATGGAGCAACACCTGTCCGAATTGAAGCAGGATAATGAAAAGCTATTGAGCATCGGAGAGAGCAGAATAGTATCCGGCGACCTGGTCGCCGATGACGGTGTAGAATTGAGACGAAAGAATGTGGGCTACGTCTCTCCCAACGAGCCGTCGATAAGGCAACGCGCATCCTTGGACTCCCACAAATTTTCCAACATGGACAACGCTCTCGCGAACAAGATGAGCGAGATGAGATTGCGATTGGACGAAACCTGCAAGAACTTGCAGAGCGAGAAGGACCAGAAGGCATTCCTGCTGACGAAAATCGAAACGCTGACAGCGGAGTTGCACAGCACAAAGATGGAGCTAACGCACAGCGACAGAACGTTAGGCTCGACAGACTCCAGTCACAGCGAAGTAGAGCGATTGCAGAACGAACTACAAGACGAGATAGCGGCTAAACAGGTGTTGGAGGAGAAGATAGCAGAGTTGAGAATGGAAATCGAAAGGTTGAAGTCCGAGAACACCATCCAGTGGAGCAAGAGGGAGCTGCTGGAAACGGAGAACATAGCTATCCTCCGCGAAAACAAGAAGCTGTACAGTCAAGTCTGCGAGCTAAGGGAGCAAATACACAAGCTTAACAGGATATCGGACGGCAGCGCCTACGGTGTGCCCTTCGTCGGTGAACACAACGCCCGTGTTACCTCCAACGTGCTATACGTGAGGAAGACCAGCATAAGTCCAAGGTCACACGAGTCCAGCAACGGCTCCTCAGAAGCCAACCTCGCCCAGTACGACGCGAAAGCGAACACATCCGGCGAAGAGGAAGAATTGGCGATCGTGGAAAATCGTTGAAAGGTAAATGATATACAATATTTACCTGTTTGTTCACTCCTTCCGAACAAAAAATCACAAACACGACGGATACGAATTAGAATTAAAAGATTAATTGAAGATTGACATATAAATGTCACAATTTATTACATTGTTGTCACAAAAGCCCTTTAAAAAAATAAAAAAGAGGTTTAATGAAATAGATAATAAGGTTAACAATGTGAACTTTATTTACGAGGTTTTCGCGTTTTTTTGCATATGTCAAACCTCTCAGTGAAGTGATTTCCATTTTAGTGAAACAAAACCTAATAGATTTTTTTGAAATAGCCAACATTTAGAACTATAAACATAAATACAGCGAAAAGAACTACAACCCATTTTGACTCCTAACAGTTGTATGTATTAATTAGTTGTGTAATGGGCAACATATACAACTATGTTAAATGTTTATTCTCAATGAGCAATACATGTAAAAATATCATTATGTAATATTTCATCGTTGATGTTACATTCCAGAAAGTTTAATTTCTTTTAATTTCATAGTGTAATTTATGACATGAAGTAGAAACATAAAAAGGTTTTTCACAAATGGTTTTCTCAATCTTGTGTTTACAGATTTGAGCAATACTTCTTTCTCAATAATTTATTAATTATTTTAATAGTAATTCAATAAATAGGAGCTCACTATAAGTGGTAAAACTGTCCATTATTAAGGAATTTGAGCAATAATTTTCAAATTATATGTTTTAGTAAAATATGTTATTGACATCGTTTTAATATTAATCAATCAAGGACAAAAAAATTGAGCCTAAGTATAATGAAATTATGGACATTTGAAAGGTTTACCAATAAATGAGAACTCCAAAACAAAAAAAATTAGACTCTGATAATATTTAATTTTATATATTTAATGAAAATATGAAACAGCCATAATAATTCGCATGTAATTTATGTTGTAAAACAATATTACATGTAGCATCGATAAGCATTATAGCTATTGGCTAAAATCAGTGTTACCATAACTTTCTCATACAGAATACTGTAATATGATTTATTTGCTGCATTCCTTCCATGTATATTTTTACGTTCTTCACGCCCATACAAATATGTATGACAATAGATAGTATAAAATTAGACTGCATTGATATAGTTTTCTGTGTTGCTGAATGTGAGGGGTTGTTGATAATTGTGATAGTCTAGTTTTAAAAGTAGAAATTATAGATGTGATGGTAGCAGTGTCCAGTGCACAGGGTTAATGAAAAGGAACGTAAAATTCGCCTAAGAGTTTTTTGTTAAACAATTCTGAAAATAATGATTAGACATAGATTGTTGATATGATTTGGCAAAACTGTTTATGCATCCTAGAATTAGACGCACTGCGTCCCATGAACAAAAATAAACCTCCCAACTATGTTAGAATCCAATATGTCGTGCCGTGATAATACTTTTTTCTGACACCCTCGTCATGCCTTCCCAGTTTTGATCAATCCAGTAATTATGAATTCTTTTTTTTTCTCATAAGTAATGAAACATTTATGTACATATTATACAGGAATATTAACATATTTTCATAATTTGACGAATACATACTGTAAGTGATTTTTGTGCACTGGGCCTAATTTTATAGAAAAAAATGATCAAGAAACTAGCCAGGTCCTGTTTATTTTATTTGTATGTAAGGCATGTATCTAATATTTACTTCTGATAGAAGTTTAAGGCCTACTACCAAATTATAATTGTGTATTTGGTTTGCGTGTTTTTTAGAATTAGTTATATTATTTATTGCTTCACTTGCCTTTGATTAGAGACCGTTTATATTTGTAGGAGTTTCAACTATTCGACAGGTCTCGTGTTTGGTGTTGTAACAAAATTAAGTTATGAGCATTGTCATCTTTACTTCAGATTAAATAATTTAACATGTAGGTCTATGGGAAATTGTATTATAAAATATTCATCCTGAATCTAGTCCTTCCAACAAAATGTCTTTGGTATACTGCCAATATTTGCAGTACTAATATTTTTCTTGTTTATAAAAAAAGAATGAAAGTATGCATTATTTTCATATGACTACATTTTGATTTTTATTCAGACTTAATTATAAACATAGTTATTTAAGCTTCAAACATATTGTATAACTTTTTTGTTTGTAGCAAGAGACGTAGTAAGTTTGTGAAAATAAATATGTTTTTCTGCATGAACAATTTACACGGGACCTTAAAATTAAGTTAAAAGCTGAGATTAGCACCGAAACCAATATCTCCTAGCAATTTACTAATACAATTATTTTGGTCTATATGTAATGGAACCTACTGTTTATTGTACTTTTTATTTTTATATTCATATATGAAACTATGCTACTTTATTGGCGATCTCATTTTCTTATATAATGTTCTTCTCGAATGTTCATGGATTAACTATGTGTGAAAGAGGGTTGGGAAGTAAGTTCCAATGACCACTGCAACCTAGAAGGTCTATTGTAGTCAAACTATGGATTAACTTTACAAATAAATAAATGTTTCACTTACTAATAATGTTTGTTTTATTTATGGTACATAATTTTTGTTGCTTAAAATACAAAGATAGAGCTCATTGCGGTTTTCATTGTCTTAGGGCATTTTCATTTGTTTTTAATTGGGAGAGGACTAAGATAATGAATACTTAAGTTCTGTGATAATGAATACTTAAGTTCTGTGATAATGTTAATAATCCAGAATATTCCTATTAAAAATTAGTTTTTGGTGCAGTAAATATTTGGCTTAACCATTTTTTTTTACGAGAAATATTTCTAGCGAGCAGGGGGTTCATCTGATTTTAAGTGATTACCGCCGCCCATCTACGACACCTAAGGGTAGGTTGCAGATGGGTTGTCAACTTTTAGAAAATGTGCCCTGAATGCCTCTTCTCTTCATGCTCGGTCCCTCAACGCTGAGGATCGTAACCACATGATGTTCTTCTCCACTGCGAGCGACCGTAGGCGGCGTGAACCTACGAATGCTTCACTCAGACGAAATGCTTGAAAGTAATTTTCATACAGTTATGATTTTATAACCCTTTATATGTACATAATAGCTTTTAGAGTATTAGATTGCGCCTATCGCTATCTATAATCAAAATCACTGATTTTGTGGCTCCCCGAAATTCGCCACCGGCAGCATGCCCATACGTTTGAATTTCGATTTCAGGTGGGTCTTCTTCAGTTTCCTGGGCCTGTCGTTCGTCTTTTTTTTTCCCTCATCATCGGCGGTCAAATCATATTCCTCGACGTGCGTTGACGTGCTACATTCGCCGTGGGCGTTGCTCGTCTCTGCTGGGAATAAAGCATCCAGGTCGGGCAGACCGCTTTGACGGTTCGCGACGACTCTTTTGCCTTGCCCTTTCCCCTTCCCTTTCGCTTTCTTGCCGCATTCGTCCAGGACCTCTATCACTACTGTCGGTCCGATGTTGCCGGTTCTTCTCAGCGGGGGCAGAGAGCTGATCGCGACGTTACCAGAGCCCTCATCTGTGCACTCTACCACGTCATCATCAGGCAGTTCTGTCCCCTCGGGTAATATTTCCATACGGGACTCGTTCATCTCGATGTCCTTGTTTCCAGACGTCTCTGCGTTGTTACCGCCTTTCTCGGTATTCGCTTTGGTCCTCTTCCCCTTATTCCCCTTGGGTGATGGTCTCCGTTTGTTCGGCGAGTTGTGGGGCTTGGTGGGGCTGCTCCTCTTCAGCTTGCCGGGTTTCGATTTTATGTCGCTCTTAATCTTCTGCTGCTTCTGGTTCGGTTTCGCTTGACGCTTCCTGAGGACGGAACGAAAAAGAGAAGGTAAATTTAAACACGCGAAGTTATAAATTTTTTAAATGTTTACTGCAAGTTTATGCACACTTAAGACGAAACTTAAAAATGTGTAAGTTTAAAGCTATCGTGGTTTTAGCTTTATTATTTTAAGTATGTTGTTTTTCTTATATCTTTGCATTCTAGAGTTATTGGCCTGACGTTTGTGGGCGACGAGTTCTGATATAATATCTGATCATCGCCTTTCTTACTTAAAGATAATTCAAAGATTTTTCATGTGTTGTGAACATTACGCAATCATCGAAGTGTCACAGTTTAGAAGTTGGCGCTCACCTATCCTCGACTCCAACGAGGTGCTTCATTGGGTTAACGGCGTCCTTCATTGCTCTGGATTTGATCGACTCCACCAAGGCGTGGTGGTCTTCCCTGTCTCGATCGTCGACGTCGTCTGAAACTGAAGGGCTCTGTTATTAAAACTGCATGTGCGCGGTGCGATAGCCTTCGCAAAACGCACGCCTATGGAGTTTTGGAAAATAAAAAAAAAAGTTTTCTTCAAATTGTTAGGATTTACTGTTTTACCTTGATTGTCGGCTGGTGATAAAAAAATGTGAGATATAAGAAAGGAACTAAGCTATGTTTCAAAAGAAACCAATTTTTTGTGGGGGTCATGAAGCTCTGGCCGTGATCTGTGCCTGCCCTAAGGCCCAATATAGAGGAACCACTTTCATCACCAGGGATGAAACTGGCACTGGAAAAATGTAAAAAAACCAAACAATGAAAAAATGACGCGTAACCGCGTTTATATTCTGTTTAAAAGTCCAAACTGTTTTCTTTTATGCTGTATGATAAACATATGGTATATTTTAAATGAAACTATTATATGGACTTTATCGCATTTTAATTGTGTTTTTTATGTCCGACATTTAGAACGTTCATGGTCACTGGGTTGTTTCACGTCTTGATGTCAAGTTAACCCGGGCTACCGTCAATTATTTTATTATTTGATTTTATTCCGTTCTACGCAAAAGCAGCTTAGGATATATTGAGGTTATAAAGTATGGGATGAAGCTTATGACAAATCCCAACCATATTCTATATAGAAATTTGGATATTTCTTTATATCAAAAGCCTCGTAAAATAGTTTAATAAATTATGTACGGTAATTGCGAAAAAATAGGAAATCAACATTTGGTATACATAGTGAGTGCATTGCTACTCCGTAGTTTATTTAAATGTTTTTTTTTTAATCCAATTTCCGGATATCTGTGGTAGGGCCACGCAACAGCTTCGACTTGCACGAATGGGCAGATCTGTCCGGGTACGTACCACGACCTCACAGAAGACCGGCGTGAAGTGGAATATACTTATATACTTCTGCGTTTCGTCTGGTGAGCGAGGTACCCAGGGCCCACTTTAATAAAAGGTGGCAACGCATCTGCCACCCTATGGGTGTTGCAAAAGTCCATGAGCGACGGTTTTCATTTAACATTATATTAACCACTTTGCCACCTTCTTACATAAAAAAAAACCGGCCAAACGCGCGAACGCACGAAGAGTTCCGAGCCATTATCGATAAAAAATGATTGTCATGTCTGTTGCATAGGAGCGCCACTTAAATAATATTTTATTCAGTTGTTTTAGTATTTGTTGTTATAGCGACCACGGAAATAAATCATCTGTGAAAATTTATATTGTCTAACAATCACAGTTCATGAGATTATAGGGTAGAGATTATAGTATATTAGGTTACAAACCGACAGACAGAGAGTGGATTCTCAGTAATAGGGCCCGTTTTGCCCTTTGGGTACGGAACCATGAAAAAGATTCTACATAAAAAAATGGTTCAAGCCGCCGCAAACTGAATACGCACCATTTTCATCCTCTTCCTCGTCGGCGCCGCCGCTGATGATTCTCCTCAGCGAGGTGTTCAGTTCGAACGGTAGCTCCTCGTTGATATACTGGAGGCTCCTGTCCGATGTTGCACCTGCGCCAACAAAGTAAAGTGACAGCCTATACATGCATTAACCAACGCTAGGCGAAGGCCTTCCCTTTACAGATGGTATTAAAGCTCAGTGCCTGTTGCTAGACTCACTTTCTTTTTTCTTTCTTTTTTAACATCGCCCTCACTTAATGATAACATTATCCTGTTTTGTAAGGACGTTTTTACAAACACAAATTTCACGTGGACAAACACCCAGATGCGAAACAACTGTCTGTGGGTCGCACACATAGTTGTCCCGTGTGGGAATTGAACCCCCGACCCCCGAAGCAGAAGCCAATACCTTTGCAACTGCGCCACGGAGTCATCAAAACTTTTACACTTTTAGACTCACATTTGATATCTTTTTCTGCCTACACGAAATCGAAATGTTGTATGTGGATATTATAATAAATTATAAATTTTCAATTTTGTCCTTTTAGTACTCTCAATTATTATGGGCAATGTATTTGTATATACATATATAGGTACCTAACAGGTTTAAACAATGAGTGTGTGATGAGGTAATCACTAAGTTTTAGGTGTACCACTCGCAAAAATAAAAATGTGCACCACCACCCACCGTCCACCGCCTCCTTCGCTTCGGAGTAGCGCTTTGTGAGGTTGCCCAGCTCCCTGATGATGTCCAGCTCCTCGTTCTGCCGATAGAAGACGCCCTTCGGGCGCACACCGCGAATGCTGTCAATACTTTTGAAACCTGGCAACATTTTTAACACATTGCATTTTCTAAACCGGCCAATTGCGGGTCGGACACACGCAGGAAGGATTCCGTACCGTTATCTATAAAACGACAAAAAAATTAAGTCTGTTGTATGGGAACTCCATTTAACTCATTGTTATTGTTTTTTTAAGTATTTTTTGTTAAAGCGGGAACAGAAATACATAATCTGTGAAAATTTCAACTGTCTAACTATCACGGTTCATGAGATACACCCTGGTCAGAACGGTTAGACAATGGAGTCTTAGTAATAGGGTCCTGTTTGGGTAAAACGGGACCCTATTACTAAGGGTACGGAACCCTGATAATAATGACTGCCGCATTCAGATACCTCACTTAGCTGTAAATCTTATTGATGAATGTAGGAAAGCATAAAATTGAATTTAGTACCACATCAAGTTTTCAAATTAATTATTCCTGACAGTTATTTCTAGCCAGTCCAGTTAACAGCTGCGGGGTTGTGTAATTTGTTTATGGTTTTAAACACATCTTTAAGTAATTACCATCTAAATACTTCTTTATTGGAGCCTCCAGTCCCCTCTCCCTTTCCGCAGCGTGGTACTGGCAGGGGCCCTTGATGAGAACTGAAGCGAGAATGTAGAGAACGTCATGTCTCCTCTCCCTTCTAGCTACAGTTTCCAGTCGACTGATGGCGGTCACATCTTCTGGCACCAGGCGCAATGCCGCGAACCCAGGGTATGGTTGCGTATTCAGTAGGCTGTAAACCAGGAATAGACCCGCGACCGACTCCTAGGGAAGTGTTGTGTATTTATTTTAGATGACTTACTTTAATTGTACATCACACAATTTTTTCTGTTCAAACACTTTAGTTACACTTTTTTATGTCAACTCGCATGCTTACTTAATAACACTTAACTTTTTGTGTACAAGAAAATCATAGAGCCTAGCTACGTAGTAACGCTAAAATCTAGTAACTAGTGATAATTGCCTGGAAACATCTCATAGATTTTAAAATATTGGACTAAGAACAGCATCTTGTGCTCACTATTTATGAGAAACTTAATACCCTCTGTATATAATATCATCTGTATATTCCTGCATCTCTGCGTTTTCTTGTGTGTTCTGTGTGGCCATCTAGGAAGTAGTTAATAAAGACCTACTTTATGGGAGAGGGGGTGAAAAACATCCGAATTGATGGCATGAGCAAGCACTTGACCAAAGAAAACAGAATAGCCCCAAACATGACAAATAATCCCTCACCTGAGAACACATCAGATAAAGATGTAGAGCAGATTGCAGATTCAAAGGAGGAAAATAATAAAAATAGGTAGATTTAAGTTTAGAAAATTAGATTTTTTACACAAATGATACTTTTGGTATCAACGGTGGTAGGGCCACGCAGCAGCCTCGGCTGTTGCACGAATGGGCAGGCCCATCCGGGTAAGTACCACGACCTCACAGAAGACCAGCGTAAAGTGGAAGTATGACAAATACTTTCGCGTTTCATCTGGTGAGTGAGGTTGCCGGAGCCCAATTTTCAAAAGGTTGTCAGCGCATCTGTAACCCGCGGGTGTAGCAGATGTCCATGGGCGGCGGTATTCACTTACCATCAGGTGAGCAGTCTGCTCGTTTGGCAAATTTTCGCATAAAAAAAAAAAACATACCTCGTAATTACTTGTATTAGCAAGCATATAGTGCTTTGCAATCTGTAGAACTTCCTCGGATAGTTCTGCTACTTCAGCAGCTGATGTTCTACCACTGGAATTTGAAAATTATAATTAACTCCTGGATAAAATACAAATTAACAAAGACATTTTACTTGTGGCAGTTTTAAATATGAGAAATTAAATATAATAATCAAAAATAAATGTATTTTTTTACTGTTCTCCTTTTTTTTTTCAATGGAAAATTTGATAATTTGAATAATACATTTGGGATGGCAAACACCGGAACATTCATAACATGTATTTGTGTATTGTTTTAAAACATATGTCCCATGCATAAATACATTCTTAATATGCATTTCTATGGCCAGATTCAATATTCTATCTACAGATAGATTTGGTAGGTAAATTTTATAGAACTTATATACTACCTATTGATAGTAACTAAATCTATCTGTGGATTAAATATTGAACCATCCACAAGTTACATTCCTAAAAATAGTAAAAAAATATTCAAATCACAAACTTAGATACTGACTTGTACAGACATCCAATGTCCATCTCTTTCCATACAATGCAGAATGATTGAAAATCTATTACATCCTGTCTCTGTAAGCACTTTTGTATCAATTCTTCAACATCATCCATGAAACCATCAGCAATATAAACATGGTGGATTGGATTTCCAACTAAAATACAAATTTGTTGTAAAAATCTAAGAAGTTGTTTTGGCTGCAGGCATAGTTTTAAACTAACAATCAAAGTTCTCTTAAAATCTCAGATTTTCTCCATTTTAATATTGGATGGATGTTCATTAGGAAAACTATATTTACTTTTTTTTGGGGTGAAAGGTTAAAGCAGTTTTTGTTGGTCTACTAGTTAACTAGTTCAATAGTAATTATTAACCACAATTAAAGTATTTCATTGTGAATGTATAATCTACCATTTATAATAAACTATAGCATATAGTGGTTTATGGAAGATCTTCAATTGTTAACCTACACAATTAATATATGTTGCATTAACTGTATTTAAATTGCTTAAAGTTAACTTGTAGCATGCAATGAAATGGTTAAAGCCCCCAAAAAAAGGGCAGAAGTAATTTTTATCAAGTTAGTACTGTATATGAAAATATTATATTAATTTAAATAAAATCTTTACAATCTTTATTGATCTAATATTTAATAGATTAAATCTATCTAAAATTACATATTATCTAATAAACCTAATCCACGCGGCATGGTGCCAAGAACGCTAGCTGCATTTCCTCGCTGAATAGTTATGCTTAACCTTTGAGCGAGAAAAGAACCAGCTCTCTTGTCACCAGCCGCGGCGTTAAGCCTAGGACATAAACTTTTAAAAAAAATTGATGTGCGGGGACCCCACGGACCTAATGTTTCGACAGCAAATTGCACAAATACATAATCTGAACATAAAGACTCATATTTGCGCCATTTACTTACTAAAAATGATAATTATTATTGTATATGATAATTACATATAAGTAGATATTTATTTTTCAAATTAGTATTTTAAATGATTGTAACTTTGAAAGGCATAACGTAATAGTTAATTGCATATTCAATTTTTATTTCACCGAATATTGAACTTAGCATAGTTTCATTATTATTTATTATCCAAATAGAGAAATAAATTCAATTGTTATCTTTTTAACTTGAATGAAACGACTTATTTCATTTCATAATTGTTCGTTTAGTTATTATTTGGCAGGCTTCAAAAATGCTGAAAACAAGCAAAAATCATGCATTACACAACTTTAGACAAGTTATATAGTTACTTACACATTGTCTGAATCGGAAAATAACAAAATATAATAAAAAATATGCAGTCTTTTCAAATTATCACACAAAAGGGTCAGCTATAGATATCATTTCAATACAAAATATCTCACTTTCTTATATTTCAGTATAATATAATATATTTATCCTAACAATACAAACACGACGTTATTGAATTTATTACCAAGTTTAAATATCATCTGATAATCAATCAATTATTTACCAGTGTTAAGTTACCAACTCTCGAAAATATTTGTACCCAAAGCTTTTGACTTCAGCTTTGCCCTTTATAAAACAATATTATTAAAAAAATGTAAGTAATGTATGATATAAATATAGTAAAGGATATTGAATCGCCAATAAAAAAATAATAAATAAAAGTTAGGAAAAAATATAAGAAAAATCGAAAAATCCTCAAATTTGAGGAGAAAACCCCTAAGTTGGCAACCCTGCAGTTTAACAAATGAATAGGCAAAGACGCACAAAACCTTACGGCCATTCTAATTCTACATGTGTAAAGAAAACAACATTCAACAGTTCTACTGGTGATATTATTTATTGTAGCTATAAGTATTTAATAACAGGGAAAAAGTTTAATTTTTTACAATTGTTTGTAACAATTATGCGGTAATTTACTCGTACCTATGTATTAACTAGCGGGCAAGCGTCTATTTGATTAAAGATACTTTGAATTGAATTTTGAACAATTTTCCAATTTTAAACAAATAAATTCTAATTGTCGATTGAAACCATAAGTTGATATGAGATCGTTAAATACAATTTTCAGTGATCGCTTTTGTATTGGGTGATTTAAAATAGTACTAATTATTTAGAAGGCGATTGGAAAGCGAGTAAGGATCAATCAAAGATCTTAATTTCTGTAATAATACATTTTTCTGAAAAATAACAAAAGGGGCGCAATTAAAGAGTTCCACACTATCCAGCAGGTAGAAACCATTACAAAACTAATTACAAAATCATTTGCAAAGGTCGTTTGGCGGCGGTACAATAATTTATTACAGGATCATCGCTACTCGAACGACTCACCCCCGCTAGCAAATACGTAGTATGTCCGTATGTAGAATGGATATGACGGACCATTAGCCCATTCTAGTAGCTTTATTTCACTTGACATCGAATAAAAACATATTATAAGGTTAAATAGACACCACTCAGTTTGGCGACGTGGTGCTATTAGCTGGTGACTTAAATTCCAAACACAGTTAGGAAACGTTACAACAATAACGCTGTCGGTTCCGACCTCTTCGCCAGAACCAAAATATAACCAGAAATTAATATCTTCTTACTTTAATTGCAAGTAGTTTGTGAATTTAACACCGATCATCAGAAGTCCTAGGAAAGTTAGTACTAGGCCGGCCAGGCACGACGGTCTCTACGACCGAGATAGACTGAGTAACTGGGGAAACCGGAGTTAGGCAAAGGTTTCGAATCTACTAACTCTCTGCATCTATATAAAATTTTCGATAATCCTATCGGATTACCAGTCTTCACCTACCTCACTCCAGTCTTCGCGGTGACCTTTATTTTGTTTACACTATTTGGATGTAGGAGGACGTCAATATAACGAATGACTCACATCATGCCAGAACGCGCGCTTGTAGAGATATTAAAGAATGCGTGAAGCAGCTGAGGGGGAAGAGATGGGACACCCCGATGGAGGATATCTCACCGTCAATACATACTAACTTCTGGTAGTTGGCGAGTAACCTAAAATCATAGAACTTTTCCGCGATACCTCCTGATCATAGATTTGTAATGTTTCGATAAAAGTCTACGCTCCTGATAGTAAAGGGTTCGAAGATGACGAAAAGGCCAAATGCCTCGCTGTCAGCGGCGGACTTCAATGTTCGCCTAGTACGCAACCCACCTGTTCATAATAGATGAGGAACTAGATCTTCGGCTCCGGTAACGGATCTTCACTTCGAATGCACGCCGGTCGATTATCAAGAGCCTCAAAAACCCCTCCTCACTCGATACAGCGATTATAATATTCCATCAGAAATAGCAAATTTCATTGCATCGGAGCTGACGACATCTACGTGTCGACGTCAATCTTGGGTACTTCGTCTGATTAGCGAGCTAACCGCAATGAGTACTCTTATATATCTGAAACTGGGACTCACTCTCCTTAAAGTTGGCTCTACACCTTTCTAAATCCAAACCCCTGTATTTGCCAACTTTTCTTATTTCATAAATGATTCGTTTATGAATTTTTTTACTTTGAGCGTGTAACTTCTTTTTGCTTTAGGAAAAAATGAATATATTTGGGTAATATGTAACCACATTAATTTATCAACGCCACAAATTTACTTTTGTATACTATTAGTCATTTTTCTTAATTTTTTTTTAAATACAAAAAATGCATTAGTGATAACAACTATACTAAACTAAGATTTAAAAAATAACACCACAAATTTAAGTGCAGGCAAACATTTATTTGACTACATAACCCCTTATACAAATTTAATGCAAAGGTAACAATTCACAAATAAAACACTGGTATGCTTACGATTATTTAATCTTGATTGAATATGCCTTTTGAATTCAAACTAGCGCACCTTTGAGCTATGTACATGGTCAATACCAAGGAACAATGTGACAACAAAATGCTGTGCTGCGGTCAAGATGCGTTTTATTGCAATTATCATAATAATCACTACTATAATGTTATACTAAATCAATTGATGTTTAGAGAGGTGTCTTCTCTATGAGTTTGTACCAGTGACCGCACTCACAGCGGCGTGGGTGGTTCTGAAAAAGTAAATGTTTTTTGAATTAAACTGCAGTCATATGTTGGGTTGTTAGGTTCATAAAATACATTCATTTTTTGTCTATTGGAATTATAATGTTTATAGGAATAATATTGCAAGTGAACAAATGTATTTATTGTCTGTTAAATCTTTACGAAGACTGCTCTCTTAAATTGAAACCTTGAAATCTCTTCATGTTTAATTAAAATACTAGCAGAAGTGTTAAATTTTTACAGGTGTATTCTTTAAGAATAATATTTGAAGAAAAGTACATTTATGTAGTTGAAGTTACTGGAATAGATTATCAATTCTTTAAAAACATGATTATTCTATTAAAATGACTTTGATGCATAGATATACGAAAATTATATAGCAGGACTGCTGGAATTTAGGCATTTTAAGGTGTCAGTTCCATGTTTTAACCCCAGTGTTAATTTTTTTTTCTGATCACTGTCATCAAAATACGGTTATGGTAAAACTAAACTTAAGAAATTTGGTATTTTATGTCGTACATTCGTTGTAACATTCTTGGTTTTCTGTTTTTTGAACAAACTAGGTTTCGAACTTGTCCTCATGGATTGCATGCACATTTCAAGGCCTGTATTTGTAATGAATGGTATGGATGAGTAAAAATTCTGAATATATGGATCAGTGAAAATTACACTCATTACAAATACAGGCCCTAAAATGTGAATGCAATTACAAGAGAGCAGGTTTGATTCCTAGTGGCTTACACTAATGGGATTTCCCCCAAACTTTAAATTGAATATTCTGGTTGAAATGTTGATGATGTTAATTGTCTGCTGTCCAAATTATATATAATTTTTATAACAAGCAAATTCACAAAAATGATGATTAAAAGTTGATGTAAGATAATTCTTAAAGAAATAATAAAAATGCAAACCTTATGTACCCATAGCCAGTTGATAGCTGTGGAGTGTTCTTCACCTGAAAGAGTTATATAACAGTATAGGCACTCAAAATTTATCTATCACAATTTTTTTGAACTTTTATCATCCATATTAAGCAGTTATTGTTTTAAAAACAAAATTTTAATCTATGACAGCTTTCCAGAACCTTGAAAGACTAGATCTGTAGAAATGCATTGTGTATAAAGGTTCCAAGGTTTACATAATAATTAACTTGTGTGCTAAGTACAGTTTTACTTCTTATTTTGTCACTAAGTGTGTAAACATACATATGCATCCAACAATGCGCGCATCAAAGCAAGATGGCACTAGGGTGGGGTTGTCACGGGTGCCTGCTGCTTTTTGCAACACTTTCATGTTGAAAGGATCATCATTTCCAGACTGTATTGCTAGCAATTCCTTCTTCTCAAGACCAGTGGCATGCTCCATGGGATCGGGCATCACTGTGGAAGGAAAATGTTAATAAAAGTAAAGATACAAAATGAGTTTGCAGATTTGAACCAAGTAGTGTGCACTAATGAGTGTTTTACCTTTTAGTTTTAGTGTTTTTTTATATGCAAAAATTTTTATGCATATAAAAATTCAAGATCTTTTTTAGAAGATTGTTAGGCTGATAATACCATAATATGTTTTAAAAACATATGTTTGGGCTAAATTTTATCAGTGATTGAAATAGCAATCTCTATTAACCTTAAGGATTAAATTAAATCAGAGTTTGTTTTCTAGACTTTAAAAGTTTCATTAATTTTTTAATGACAAAATTGTAGTTGATTCAAATGATTTCAAAATTAAACTCTGAAAAATAAATATAATTAAAGCACAAAAAAAATGTTAGGACTTTAAAAACTCTATATATCTTTAACATTTTTAACTATTGAATTTATGTGTGTGTGTGGTTATTTATACACACATTACTGTAATAATATTGAGTTATTTGAAATAAAAAGTGGTTATGATAATAATCTGAAATAATTTTCACTGTTAGATATCACAGTCTTATTTAATTCAATGTACATGAACACTTGAAACCCAGTGAAGGTATCAATAAAATTACAAATGTTAACCTTTATGTGCTGTTATACATCACATGATCAGCACTGAAGGTAACATTGTGTAAAAGCCATACTTTTGAAAGAATAGGAACAAACATATTTCAAAGATGTGTGAACTGACAATCCGCAGCAGATGTAGATGTTGCATGGTATACTAATAATATTACCTAATACCCTCTGTACAATTGTTTTTCTACTTATTAGGTATAAAATGCAAAGAATATTATAAAGCATGCAATGAGTGTTCTTTTACAGGAGTAAGATTTAAAAAATCCATAAGGTCAATTAACCTAACTGATATATTCAATAAAAAAATAAAACTAATGATAATAATGTGTCATATATTAAAATTATTGTTAAGCTAATTGTTTTGTTAATAACAGATAATTGTAAAGTCAGATTCAATACTAGACAGGACATTTTTGACAAAATTTGTTACATAAATCAAAAAAATTGCAACGATTTATGTTATCATCATATTATTAGATATTTACGCCTTTGTAACAGATAAGATATATAACCTACAACTTAAAAAAGGATATGATATAGTTAACGTGCCTTGATAGGGTTTCTATATATATCGTAAAACGATGATAATTTCTACAAACACAAAATACTAATACAACTTTTCGTAAAAAATCAATAAAATGTGGTGGTCCATGACGTTTTTAGGACAAATACATCAGTATGTTTGTATAAATGGCAAAACGTTATATATAAAATAGTCGATGTTGTTATTTCATATATATCGTATTTAAGGTAAATTAGTGCAAATGTGGAAATTTTTAACAATTTTTCATAAAAATTTGACATTACGTAACTAAAAGTTGACAGGCGATGGGGATTTTATGTAAATAAATGATCAAATGCTTACTTTTGTCCGCATATCCACGTCGGGCAGTTGATAAAACTAAATTCCTGCAGGCATTTGCCCGAACAATTTGTCTACACAAGGAGGCCATTCTGCTTGTTTTACAATTACACCACTAGACCGCTTCTCACGATAGCAAGTGGAAGATAAGTTTTTTTCCTTTGTGTTGCTATAACTAAAATAAAATTAAGTTAATATGACCAGAGAGTAATTAATCGACTTTATTGTTTATTTTTAAAATAACAAATAAAGAACAGCTTTGAAAAATATTTTAAATAACCATGGAGAGTTAAATGTGCAATAATTCTAAATTAAAATTTGCAACAAAGCAAAATTTCAACATTAAAAAAGTAAAGTAACAGCCTATAATGTCCCACAGCTGGGCAAAGAACTCCTCTATAATGAGGGTATCAGGGCATAGTCCACCAATTTTGGAATATTTTTTATTTATTTATTCTTATTTCAAAAATATCCAAGTTTCCTCAGGATGTTTTCCTTCACCGCCGAGCACGTGATAATTCAGCACTTAAATTAACAATTTCATTGATGCTGGCACCGGGGAACTAATTTATATTTTATTTGTTATATTCATTATCAAAAATATCCTTTAACAGAGTATCAAAAATTGTAGAAAAAGTACGAAAAGATTGTCGCCGCTGTGGGAATCGAACCCACGTCTTGGCATTCGCGGCCTGACGCTCTAGCCACTGAGCTAAACGGCTGATAGCCACAGCGACGAAAATCTTAACGCCTTCCTTCTACATTGTTATTTAGCATTGAAGTAATGCTTGGCGCATCTATTGTTATATCCTTTCCAGCGTACAAACAATTTCGAATATCGTTTTACAACAATCGTTTTGATGTTCAATCTTAAGTGCAGAGATTAGCACTCTAAAAAGACTTGAAAATTTAACAGAGTAGTTGAAAAACCTAATTGAAAAATTGCCTCTAACTAGCCTCGAGCACAGGCGCAGAGTAGCCAGTCTCTCGGTTTTCTATAGGATGCATTTTGGAGAGTGTGTGCTGGAGTTGCACGATTTGATTCCTCCCACCCCTTTCCATCATCGGACACCTAGACGTTCGGCGAGGCTCTACCCTTTTTCTGTCGACGTTCCACGTACAAGAACAAAGAGATTCGAATCGTTATCATCCGTACGGCTAAGGAATGGAACAACCTGCCGGCGTCGGTCTTCCCATCCGATTATAACGTAGGCGTCTTCAAGGCAAGAGTGAATAGGCTTTTACTGAGCTAGCGCCTACTATCCACGGCTGCATCGCTACTTACCACTAGGTGGGATGGCAGTCAAGCTTTAGACAGTTCCATATAAAAAAATGACGTCCTTTTATTATACTTATAGAACTAGTATTGATTATCGAGTACTTGGTCCATATACTTCCTTAAAGTCCGAGGTACTTGTCTTCTTCCTCTATGGGGCCGACGAGGATAATTCGCGGGCGACATTTGTATACGGTCACGTTTACGAATCGAATTTGGGGAGTGAGACAGCTGGTTCTTTCGTATCCTCCAGTTGGCGTCTTGTCTCTGCACTTGCCCCAAAATCTCACGAAATACTTTCCATTCGGCGACAAGAAGCTTATTTTCTTACCTAGTGTCAGTGTTCAAGTTTCGCAGCCATACATTAAGATGGGCCTTATGATGGTCTTATTTAGACATTGACACTGTGTAGAGCCGCATATCATAGAGCGCCCTGGATACGAAGTTCAATTTCCGCCTTCCTGCTATTTGTCTCCGTTATTACGCAGCAGAGGTATTTGGCTTTTTAGCCTAGGTATTTATGTTTTCCCTCGGCTACTAATCAATAAAATAATCGCTAATGCACCCTATTTTGTTTAACTTTCACCTTATCTAATTATGGGAAAAACTTAAGTTAATAATTTGGAGTAGGCATCCCTAAACACGTAAACCTTGACACTGACAGTTTGTTTACAATTTACCATAAACACTATGTACACGAGTGGCACTTACACATATCCTGCAATTAAGCATTGCTCAATCTAGACAAGTATGTAATAAAAGATCCGTGCGCTTCTAGCATTAAAGTATAACATTAACTTTAAATTGTTTATTTTTGTAAATAGATGAACCGGGTGCAAATGTTAAATTTGACTCTTTCATGCGCTCTCGCCAGAAGTCTCTTTTTTAAATCTAATTTCTAATGTATTTTAGGTCTATATGTACTCACAACTCATGTCGTAAATTAAACCATGACATATAAATATACTTTTTTTTTACTTTTCTCTATTAAAACATAATACACGTAAAATTACAGCTATTTTATATAAATATTTTTGAAGTTCTTGAAAGAATTCTTTTGGCGCGTTTGGGAAAAATCATGAAGTTGAATTTTTACGATGCGCGACACCAATTTTTTTAAATTAACATAAAATACCAAGTTATTTATACCGTGATCAATTACATTTAGTCTTTTTTTCACAAACAAAGGGTACTGGCACAAGACATAATATTTTTCTTTTACGCTAAAGAAGTATAATTTCTTACGTGCATACACACACACACACATACACACGTATTTTAAATTTAGTAATCAATTATGTATAACAAGTGCAATATGATGGCGAAAGTTCATTTTATTAATTTTTTTGAAGTTCATTAAATGTGTCAAAGTAAAATTATTTCACTTTGTGTTTAAACTTTTCAAAGAGAGAAAACTTGAGAAATGAGTCCTTAAAACTGATGGAAGTTATTACCTGCAAAAATTTTGATAAAGACTAGAATAATACTATACGCGTTTTAATAATATACATGTACAAATTATGTACGAAATTGGGTTTCCATGAATATTAATTTATGAGTATTTCTTGAGGTTATACTTCGTTTGGCGCGTTTGGGAAAAATGATGAGACTTGGAGTTTGAGAGTGATTTTTTACATTTGATGAACATCGTCACATATGTATATGGGTAACACCAACTTCATGGTGCTACATGTGTTTTTTTTACTCATGATGATGATTTCCCTACAGTCACACGTTATTTAATAAAACTTTTATAACGCATATAATTACGCTAAAGAAGTAATTTTTTTCTTTATTTAGCACCTGCTTTCTGTTGTTTTACCATGACAAGGCTTGACTCATGATTGGTACTAGTCTAGAAAATGACAATATACATTACGTCCGCCTATTGTAGCCCTTATCTTAAAGGAAAGGTCAAGAAAAGAAGAAAAAAAGTATATAAGTTCAATCGCTGATAATTATGAAAAATGTTGTTGGTAAGTTAACTCACCATTAGTAAGAAAAATTGTTTACATCGTATTTTATGTTTTTTATTTATACTCAAAACCAAAGACGATGTTACTTTTATACGGAATCAATTTCGAGTACGCCCGCTTCGTTGAATAAAACACCCTTTAAATGAATTCAATCTTACATCAATTTCTCCTTCTTCAAGCTGTAAGTTAAAGTGCATTATGACAAATTAATGGCTTATAGAAATATTATTGATTAGGAACTATTATTTCAAAGACCTTAACGTTCCTTGAATTATTTACAAAGTTCAAAAGCCATCTTTGGTAGGTAATTAAATATACTTACTGGATCGCTTAAATATAGTTCTCTGTAACAAGATGGTGATACGCATTCTCTGATGCAACGTGTTCTCGGTAAACCACTCATATGACTACATGCACTACTTTGTTCACAAGCTGTTTCAAATTCTCTAAATGTCATTTCCTGAAAGACATATTTAAATAATAAAAATAAATGGCTTTACATACTTAAATCATTATGACAGTATACTCACATTTTTAGGAGAATCTTTATATTGATATTCTTTAAACGTGAATGGTACTGCAGTTGCGTCGCAATCATTCGACGTAAAGTAACTCATAAGAATCGAGTAACTTATTGACAAAGATATCAAAAACATTTTTATGAAAAACTTCAAAGACCTGAGTTTACAAACGTGTATTTCAAAAAATCAATACCCTTTCACATGTCACATAGCACTTGATAGCACAAGAATAGGCTGTAAATAAAAATAATATTTTTGGCGAATTTATAACATGATTGTTTGAAAATATTTAACGATTAAAGATATCAAACGATAATAATGTAACTTAAAATGACCACGAATTGCTGGTTTCATTTGAGTACTGCAACACTGAAATATCTCTAATGAATTCAATTTATTATTTGTTATAAGAATTTGTTCATTTTTTTTAAATGGTAGACTTGTACAAAGAAGAAGATTGTGAGTTGTCGTCAATATTTATTAATAAAAAGATGTGTATTTAGGCAGGTGTAATAATAAATAATCGTATTTAGTCTGTACCTAGCTTAGTTAAGAATAGTCTGTATATATGTCTTATCTATGGGAATAGTGGTATGAAATCTGTGGCGAGTGTTACGTATTTTGCATGATCAGAGAACAATAAATTTAAATAAATGAAATAAATATTAATATTTAAGTTTGGAAGAGAATGTTTTAATAGAAAATTTAAAAAGCTTTCATTATTTATTTGTTCTAAAAAGTTTAACTTTATTTGCGAAGTGTTTGTGCAGTTGTCTGATCTATTGTTTTTTCAATTACGAAGGGAGTTGTGATTTTTTAATACTATTTAAGAGGAAAGTGATCAAAATTAACCGATTTTGGTAAGTGGTATTCTATGATCATTTCAAGTCAAAGTAAATATCTTCTATTGTACGCATTTTTATTTTATTCCATCTTGTACAGAATAGTTTGTAATTATATTTAAAGGTTTTAACTAATGTTTTGATCGATCTGTAAGTGTATTATAAACTGTAGAAACAGTAAAATTCATTTAAAAATTGTCTTTTTTGAGCAAATGGTCACTAATGTTTTTTTTATATGTACTGTTATAACTATAAAAATAAAAATAAATGATTATTTGACCTATTTCTAGCAGGCTCAGGTTCAGGTCAGTTGTCTAAAAATAATACTGCGAAATTCTTTTATCCATTTTTTTTCGTTATTCACTTTTTTTCATCTTTATATTAGTCAATTCTGTAGATGATGACTCTGTTAGATGACTCAGTGGCGCAGTTGCCAAGTTGGCTTCGGCGGCGGGGCTCGTGGATTCGATTCCCACATCGGACAACTATTTGTGTGACCTACAGATAGTTGTTTCAGATGTTGTAAAAAATGTCCTTACAACACAAAAAATATTAATATGATTACAAAAATATTTAAAAAAAAATCCCATTTGAAGAGTCACTCTCCATCACATGAAATATTTTTTCTTTAGATAATAGCTCGCATATTATTAAAAATAATGTGTATTACTTCACATAAATAAATTCACTACAACTGCACTTGATGGTATGTAAAGGTTATATTCAAATATCTTTCTTCAATATAACTTACTGGTTGAGAAAAAAAGGTACTGAGAAGAGCCCATGAAAGAAACTCACAGGACAATTTTTTTTAACATTATTTGACAAAAAAATAACAAACAAACAATATACGATAGTCCACTTGAGAGCCGGGAGAGATCAATTCATTTCCAAAGTGTGTTATCATTTAATTTAAACTAATACTATAATGGCTCCAACGATTTTCATGAAATTTCGTTTTCTTTTATTTAACAACCAATTGATTTTGAATCTTATCTGGGATTTTATTGTAAAAACATACATTGTCGCATAAAAGATTTACTATTTTTTTGAACAGGGGGCTCACCTGATGGTAAGTGACTTCAACACATCTAGATGAGGGTGGAATTAAATTTTGTTTGAATTAGTTTAATAGGATAGTAAATCACACGCATATCAAGCCTGTTCGCTCTTTTCTTTTATGGAATACATGGGATTTTGACATGAATATACTGGAATGGGTAACTTATTCCAATTCATCACTCTAAACATTATGATCAATCTAAGTATTTTTTGGGAGATGTTAGTAACATAGAGAATGAAACTGTTTTTCTAAGCAAATTAAAAAGTATGCATAAAACTTAAACATTTAAATTTAAACTATTAAAACACTTAAAAATGTAATAATTTATTGTCAAAGTATACTTTTATGAAGTCTTCTGTGTTTTAACACAGAAGATTCTGTTTTACGGATTATCTTTCAAAATTCGTCATTTAATATAATAGTTGTAAATATATGTTTATATATTAATATAAAAGCTACTTTGCTAGCAAAATAAGCATTACATCAAGTTTTTATGTGACCTGTTCTATTGTAAAATGAATTTTCTGTTACTAATAGTGTGCTGTGTTGGTAAAGTTAGCATCACATCAGGATTTTTTTTGCTCCGACACATACATAACGACCGAAGTTAGGTGCATTCAGTGCACGCGCACTCAGGGAAAGGATGAAAATAGTACGATCAAAATTCAACTTTAAACTATTCAGCACTAAACACATTTTTCTGTAAAACATTGTGACTGTATTAGTCACATTGTCTTCGTTTCAATTTTGGACTTTATCGTTATAGTTTTAAGGAAGACTTATATTCACTGGTGGTATAGTTTTTTATATTGCGCTCTATTTCAATAGGTATTATTTTGAAACAATCTTCCAAGTTATTTTTCCTCGCTCGGTTCTTTCATTAGTACGCCGATTAATTATTCTTTATTTTCTATCTCGTTTCATTAACCCTTGGACAAATGTTTAGGTTTAACATGACGGCACATATGCATACTCAAATATTAACTTAAAAAGCCGCTGTTCGTTTGAACAACAAAAAATATGACAAAGTATCTTTTGTGTCCTGTTGGGCATATGCCGTTTCTGTAAAGAGAATGTTAGGGGTGTTTTTTGACAATTATTTGTCTTACAATGCAGACGGGTCGGCGCTAATACCGCTGAATGTTTTTATGACTCTCGCTAATGTATATTTTATATTAAATGTGTAGGACGTGATAAATTACTACGATTAATATACAAAAATTTTAATCGTTATCCGGTTTTAATCGCCTATTATTGCTTCAAAAATCATTCTACTACCTTGTTGTGTGTAACAAACACTCGTTCAATGGTTTAGTGTTATGTAAAATAACAAAGCCAAAAAGTAGATAAATGGGAAGAATATTATCTAGTATCGTGACATTGGCCAGTTTGCGCGCTTCTTACTAAGGTACAGATAATATATATTATGTAATTCCGTACTTTTTTGTATGATATGTATTTTTTATATATATATCACTATGGAACAACCTGCCGGCGTTGATCTTCCCGTCCGATTATAACGTAGGCGCCTTCATGGCAAGAGTGAATTGAAGAGGCTTTAACTGCGCTAGGTGGGATGGCAGTCAAGCGCTAGTCAGTTCCATATATATAAAAAAATAGCTCTTAAATTACTACTGCGAAATAACCGCGGCCGTGGAGTGCGTTAATTTTCAAATCTTAAATCACTTCGAACGCTGGCCTCGCCGTAATGGCCGAAGAAAAACGCGGTCGGAACTATCGCACACTATAAATTATAGTGATTATGTTATAATTATTTTTCACTTCAGCCGCTGCGTCATGCGGATTGCAGCGAAAATACCAAACACATACCTCTGTACCTTGGCGTGAAGTTATACTTCCACTATATTAATAACCCAATTTCTAATAATTTTTTTACCAACGAAAACCAAAACCGACTTCAAAAATCTCGCTCTGTATTCATTTTATAATTGATTTTGAGGAGTTCCCTAAGTATATCTGATCCCAAGATCCAATACCAATGATATTAATATGGGACCACATGGGAAGCAGCAGCTTTCAAATGAAAAAAGAATCATCAAAATCGGTACTCTCAGTCAAAAGTTCTGAGGTAACAAACATAAAAAAAAAAAAAACAGTCGAATTGAGAACCTCGTCAGGGGACAAATCCCCTGCGCCAGTAATCTTTGTTTGTGAAAAATAATTTAAATGCAATTCATAACGGTTTAATGAAATAACCTGGTATTGTAGCTAAATGTAAATAGTTTTTATTGGTTGCCATGGTAATGGTAATAAAATGCCGTGAAGTTGGTTCGTTTTGCTACAAACTTGATCATGTCGCTTTTTGAATCGATTTCTTTCAATCTTAAAAATCTGGGATCCAAAAGACATGCCTCTACCACATTCGTGTTCCAAGGAAGCCTCTGGTAAAATCTTTCTAGCATTCTATTTTTCAGCGTCATCATTGTATCTCATCAAGCTTTTGACCGACACTAGTGATAGTTCATTTTCAATGATGATTTAGAAGTAGATGTTAAGCATCGGCTCTACTGTCATGTCATGCGCGCCTAGTAACACAGCGTCATGCGTCAGATCTCGCCGCGCAGTCTTGTCCGGTGATTGTGAATGGAAGATTCTATTATACTACTATTATATATATCACGTCGTGTTGATGTTCTCCGCACGTGAATCGCCAATTCGTTGCATGATCGTTACCAGACATCCAGACATCGCCGCCTATTACTATATAAATAAAATTATAGGTATGCGACCAAACCCGAAAAACTACTGGATACATTTCAATTGATGATTCCATGGCGCAGTTGCCGGGCGCCTTCGGTGGGTGTCTCGGCGCCGAGGGTCATGGTTTCGATTCTCACAATACACGGGACAGCTACTTTTGTGACCCACAGAAAACTGTTTCGGATGTGGCTAGTCACCCACGTGAAATTGTGTATGTAATTAATATAATTTTTAACAAAAAAAAACCGACTTCAATCAGAAAATTAACAACATTGTTAATACATAATTATAATGATTGCCCTCGATTTCTCTGAGTTGCCATCGTCAGATCCGGGTTTCCTTATCTTGGTACGGCCCTTGGGATATCTCCTTTCAGACAAAAAAAAAGAATTATCAAAATCGGCTCATAAACGGCGAAGTTTTCCGCGAATACACATTAAACAAATATATATACGGTCGAATTGAGAAAC